CTTATGTAGACAGATGTGTGCCTTTCCAAATCATGTCCAATCAATTAAATTGACCACAGGTGCTCCAATCAAGTTGTAGAAACATCTCAAGGATGATCAATGGAAACAGGATGCACCTGAGCTCAGTTTCGAGTCTCATAGTAAAGGATCTGAATACTTATGTAAATAATCTATTTCTGTTTTTTATTTTTAATAAATCTGCAAACATTTCTAAAAACCGGTTTTCACTTTGTCATTATGGGGTATTGTGTGTAGATTGATGTGGAAAAAAATGATTTAATCCATTTTAGAATACGGCTGTAACGTAACAAAATGTGGAAAAAGTCAAGTGGTTTGAATACTTTCCGAATGCACTGTAAATAGGAGAGGGGTTAGGGGTTAAGGTTAGGGTTAAGTTTAGGAGTTAGGTTAAAGTGTTATGGTTAGGGGAAGGGTTAGCTAAAAGGGTTAAGGTTAGGGTTAGGTGAAGGGTTAGCTAAAAGGGTTAGGGGAAGAGTTAGCTAACATGCTAAGTAGTTGCAAAGTAGCTAAAATTTTAAAGTTGTCCGTGATGAGCTTCGAACTCTCAACCTTTGGGTTGCTAGATGTTCATATTATACGCCCACCCTCCTTTCATTTTTGCCTTAAGTAACCATCTGTCTTATGTAACCAAACGTAACATATCATGGTAGCTTAGTGGTTAAGAGCGTTGTGCCAGTCACCGAAAGGTCGCTGGTTCTAATCCCCGAGCCGACTAGGTGAAAAATCTGTCGATGTGCCCTTGAGCAAGGCACTTAACCCTAATTACTCCTGTAAGTCTCTCTGGATAAGAGCGTCTACTAAAATGTCTCGGATTTGCTTACAGAATAATACGAAATGCTCTGAGACCAGGTTGTTTATCCATTTTTGGTTGTTTATCTATTTTTGATTGCCAACTAGCTGAAACAGTTTTAGAGGGTTTATCTAATGTTCCCTCATTTAGATTTTAGCTCATCTCGCTCTGGCTAGCATTAGTTGTTAATCTTGTTGTGTGTGTGTGTGTGTGTGTGTGTGTGTGTGAGAGAGAGAGAGAGAGAGAGAGAGAGAGAGAGAGAGAGAGAGAGAGAGAGAGAGAGAGAGAGAGAGAGAGAGAGAGAGAGAGAGAGAGAGAGAGAGAGAGAGAGAACCCTTTTCATGGTTGTTTGAACAATAGGACTGTAAAGTTCTCAAATGTAAGACGAATCCCGTGGAATTTACATATTTGCAGAAATCCATTCAGGTGTATTTTGTAGCTATTGGCAAATGTGTTCTAATGATCTAAAGTCCTGCTGTTTCTACTGCCTGTAAACACACATTAAGGTTAAAAGTGAATGATGGCAGGTCCTTGTGGCAAATGGCTTATTTCCCTAAAGGCCTACTGTAGCTCTGCGTAGACTCCGGTCCTGTTCAATATTTAATGTTGTTAAAACGCTCACAGGAACCCAACACTTATTTTGGCTTGAGTGCGGATGATTAAAGAGGAAGAAGTGACATGCCCCTGTATCAAAACCAAAAAGCCTTAAGTTAAAACAGGGTAGCCTAATGCATATTGAAAATAGGCCTATAAACCCTTTGTGAAATTATATAACAGTAGGCCTTCTCTGGTCTCATCATAAAAATATGGCCTAAACTAATCACTTGTGGACAGGTCTAGTAAACATAACTGGTACTGTAGAATCTATCGGGTAGGAATGGGATGTGTGGGATAACGAGCAGCAGTAGTTATGGTGTTTGGGTTTTTTGTCACTGGTTATTTGGACAAATCACGATTTCGCAGGTGTCATTCGGCCATAGACTTGCCCGTAACTTGCAAAGAGAGAGGATGGAGCTCCTCGTTCTAGCATCTCTTAATCCCTTCTCACCTAGGCCTACTATTCTGGGTTTCATCCCTCACCTCTAAAGAGATAATCTTGGTTAAACCAGAACTAAAGACTTGCGTCATTGGTCAGCTGCTCGATTAAGTTCTGGGTCCATACGAGTTAAGAGATGATATGGGTCGCATTTCCCTGCTCAGACATTGCATGCATCAACCAATGGTTGCATGCCACATTATCGACCAGATTGCTGTAACATATGATGTGGTTAGCTGATAAGTAAAATACCTATCCAGGCGTTGTAAGATCTGGTATGCGTCAGCAATGCCTGGGGTGCAGAGGAACATGCCCATGAAGAGATGCTAGAACGAGGACCAGAACGAGGAGCTCCACCCTCTTTCTTTGCAAGTTACAGGTCTATGGGCCAAATGTCCCTTGCCCTTCCTTAATTCGTTGTTGGCTTGGTGTGGGCTGGCCCATGTTGGGTTGGTGTGGGCTAGCTCATGTTGGGCTTGGTGTGGGCTGGCCCGTGTTGGGCTTGGTGTGGGCTAGCCAGAGTTGGACTGGTGTGGACTTGATGTGAGCTTGCCCGTGTTGGGCCTGGTGTAGGCTAGCCTGTGTTGGACTGATGTGGGCTAGCCTGTGTAGGGCTGGTGTAGGCTAGCCCGTGTTGGGCTGGTGTGGGCTAGCCCAGTGGTTCCCAACCTTTTTGGGGTACTGTACTGCCTGAAGTACCCCCGTCATGCGCGTGCGACCGGCGTGATTCATAGATTAGGTGTAAATTTGACAAAAATTAGGTTTTACGCACCCAGTCAAGTAAGCCAGACTTGTTTTCAATGTCAGGGATGTAGGAGTTAAACTCACTGTTGAGTTTGGATAATGGTGAGCTTACTATTTGCACCATAGGAGCTCTGTCAGCATCACCTGTAGAAAGGTAGGTGTCAAGCTGCTGGAAACAACTAACTGTATATCCCCATTTTCACATTTCCTCTCCCAGAGTTTGATCTTCTTCATGAATTCACACACTTTGTCATACATGTTTAGAATGTGTGTGTGTTTACCTCGCAGAGTTAGATTTAGGTTGTTCAGTTTGCTGAACACATCAACAAGATAGGCAAGGCGGGCTCCCCAGTATGTGTCCTCCAACACAGCCACAAGGGGGTGTGAGTGCTCAGACAGAATATCACTTACTTCGGCGCGGCTCAAAAAGCCTCTAGCGTTTTCCCTCTGGATAGCCAACGGACATCAGTGTGAAGTAGCAGCTGCTGGTGCTCAGTCCCACTGTCATCACAGAGCCTTTCATACAGTCGGTAATTCAGAGGCCTGGACTGGATATCTGCGTCATTCAAAACATAATGTAACTCAGGACTCATTCTCTTGCTGGCCAATGCCTCTCTGTGAATGATACAGTGGGATTTACCTTCTTTATGTGGGCAATTCATCATTTCACTCTCCCAGGCATTGATGCAGCACGATCCGTGCACACATGAACACAGGATTTCCAATCCAGATTTAGCTGTGAGAAAAAGATGTCAATAACGTGAAACACATCCTCACCTGTAGTTCTCCCTGTTAGCTTCTTGCAGAACATAATGTGCTCATTAATTTCCTAAATGTTTCTGTATCGCACAAACGCAATCAACTGGGCTTCCCAACTGACAGTCAGTCGATTCGTCCAACTGCAGAGAAAATAGACCGTAATTATAATTTTTTCTGCACTTGATCAACAATATCAACACCCATGTCATCGATCCTACGGCACACTATATTATTTGATAATGGTACAGTTTTCAGTGCATCAGCTGCTGTCTTATCAATCATAGTTTATGCGAGGATAACAGCAGCAGGCACTCTAGCGCACCGAGCAAAGGATCACGTGCACTTTGCACAAGCAGAGGATCAACCATCGAGCCAACGAGCGGGCGAGCAGAGGCCAGGTAGACAGTGCAATGCACAAGCACCGAAAATAAAGTAAAAAAGTAGGCCTATAAATATAAAATAACTAGAGATTTCACACCAGTGACCTCAGTAAATCTTTTCCTGCCTATTAAGGTTTAAATAACTTGAACATTTATGAACATTTATGTCAATCATCTTCTGATGGTCTAATTTGCTCTTAGGTGTAGCACACGTGGAGTGGGCGGTGTCGTGTATTGATGTGATGTACTGATATATGACGTCACCACGTCAGTAAAGGAATGTGGAGCTTGTTACACGGACAGTGATGTAGTAAAGACATGTTGAAGTTTACCTCTGAGTCTGGTTGATTTAATTCAGTATAATATCTTAACTTAGCACAAGTTGTAAGTATAGGATTGAACAGGCGGGGCCCCAGTTCATCATATCTCAGAAGTCATGTCCCCATAGGACATAGTTTGTGTCTGTGATAAGGTTGTTGTTGTGAGGGCCTGAAAACTAATTTCAAGTAGTAAATTACAGGCGCTTATTGTGATCGAAGAAATACAGAAGTATAGAAATACAACCAATATTATGTGATGTTGGAAATGTATGGAAATAGACCATGGTCTGTAATTTTGGAGGATTGTAAAATAACGTATTTTTGATAGGCACTCAATTGTAAGCAATAACACTGTTGATAACACCGATCAATCAATCACATTTCTCAGCAGATGTCAAAAAGTGCCTAAACAGAAACCCAGCCTAAAACCCCAAAGAGCAAGCAATGCAGCGGTAGAAGCACGATTACCCCATGCATGTCTAATTGAGAGAGGTTATGTATTATAAAGTGTTAGGTAATAGACAAGGTGTTCTCTTGGCTAGTCAGAATAGCCTACTGTAGTGTGTGTCAGATGTCAAGCGCACCGAGCGCCACTACTCACAGGATCCAGGGAAGCTGCGCGTAATTTTAGATCAGCACTCACAGTGTAACCTAGCGTGCAGGAGGGGGGTGAGGGAGGACAGAGTGTAACTGCTGTTGTATTTGACTGCAACAAGTGATTTTATGTCACCTTCCTAGTGTTATTTATAAAGAGAGCATAGTCTACTTGTGTGATACCTGTCACATATTGGTGCTGCATGCGTTCACAAGCCCATGGAATACAGTCCTGCCTGACAGTTTGATGAGAAGTCAGTGGTCCTGGTCCTGTAACTCTCACCAGCCCGCACACCCATCACTGCCCCGAATTTGCGTTTCATAGTGGCTGCAATCGAAACCCGCAGTTGCCAGACATGGGTGCTATTTTTGTGTTGATTCTGGCGACTTGTCTGAGCGGGGTTTGGGGATGCCAGTTGCCCCACGACTGGAGACCGCAGACGGAGACGTGCCGCGCGGAGCTCGCGGAGATCATCGTGTTCGCCAAGGTGCTTGCGCTGCACAAGGACTCGTACAGTGTGTATAACTACCTGCCTTGGCAATATGACACGGACCTCTTCTTCTCCGCCGAGATCGAGCTGCAATGCGACCAGGCGTGGGGCAGCATGCTGGAGGTCCCCACCGGCTCCCGGTTCAATGTCACCGGGCTGGGCTACTTCCCCTGTTACTCCTACAGCGTCGTGGAGAATAACTCTTACTATTTCTTTCTGAGGTAAGAGACCGTGACGTCCTGGTGTTGATGACACAAGCACAATACAACAGAATATAGACATATCGTGATTTATTGTTAGTGTAATTGCCTTAACTTGTGTCTAGATACAATATAACCCTTACATTTTCAGCGGTGTTAACCTTTTTACAGTTTAATGAGAAACTTTTGTCTGATGAATAGACACTAAGTGGAATAGAGTTGAGAGTGCTGGGTCTGCCCTTAGGATTGTCTTGGGATATGTTTTAGACTTTGGAAGACCCAAGTGGCAAGCAAACACAGCAGGAAGAATAAACAAAACCGTGTGTGTGTGCGCGCAATATTATAGTGTGTAAATGGAGTAGCTAGATTCCACAGACCGTTTCACATTTGAGATAAATATCAACAGATTGAAAAGATGATCAGGTTCAAGTCGTTTAGAAGTAAAGTTACAAATCACATTTTATTTGTCAGATGATTTATAAACAGCAGGTGTAGATTAACAGTGAAATGGTTACTTACAGGCCCTTCCCAACAACGCAGAGAGAAAAATATATAAAAAATAATAACACAAGGAATAAATACACAATGAGTAACAATAACTTGGCCATATACACGGAGTACCAGTACCAAGTCAATGTGCAGGAGTACGAGATAATTGAGTTTGATATAGTGCCTTCAGAAAGTATTCACCCTGCTTGGCTTTGTCCACATTTTGTTGTGTTACAGCCTGAATTTAAAATAGATTAAATAGAGATTTATTGTCACTGGCCTACACACCATACCCCATAATGTCAAAGTGAAATTAATAGAAAATTAAAAGCTGAAATGTCTTGAGACAATAAGTATTCAACCCCTTTGTTATGGCAAGCCTAAATAAGTTCAGGAGTAGAAAATTGCTTAATAAGTTGCATGGACTCACTCTGTGTGCAATAATAGTTTTCAACATGATTTTTGAATTGACTACCTCATCTTTGTACCCCACATATACAATTATCTGTAAGGTCCCTCAGTCGAGCAGTAGATTTCAAACACAGATTCAACCACAAAGACCAAGGACGTTTTCCAATGCCTCACAAAGAAGTGCACTTATTGGTAGATGGGTAAAAAAAAAAAACAGACATTGAATCATGAATAGTGCCCTCCATAATTTTTGGAACAGTGAAGCATTTCTTCTTCTTTTGGCTCTGTACTCCAGCACTTTGTATTTGAAATTATACAGTGACTATGAGGTTAAAGTACAGACTGTCAGCTTTAATTTTAGTGTATGTTCACTTATGCGTATTAAAGTAGTCAAAAGTTTAGTATTTGATCCCATGTTCCTAGCACACAATGATTACATGGAGTTTGTGACTCTACAAACTTGTTGGATGCATTTGCTGTTTGTTTTGGTTGTGTTACATATTATTTCTACATTAATGTGGATGCTACCATGATTATGGATAGTTCTGAATGAATCGTGAATAATGATGAGTGATAAAGTTACAGACACACAAATCATACCCCCTAAAAAATTCTAACCTCCCCTGTTATTGTAATGGTGAGAGGTTAGCATGTCTAGGGGGTATGATATTTGTGCGTCTGTAACTTTCTCACTCATCATTATTCACGATTCATTCAGGACTATCCATAATCATGGTAACATCCGCATTAATGTAGAAGTGTTTAGAAACATATTCTATTATTATTTACAATAAAAGTGACTCCAAAATGACACGTGGAGTACAGAGCCAAAAGTTTTTTTTTTTTTTTTTATGTCACTGTCCGAATAATTAGGGAGGGCACTGTCTTTGAGCATGGTGAAGTTATTAATTACACTTTGGATGTTGTATCAATACAAACAGTCACTACAAAGATATAGGCATCCTTCCTATCAGAGAGACTTGAAAAGCTGCAATATTATATCTCTTACTGAAACATGGCTGGATGATGACGCAATGCACGTAGTACTTGATGGAGTCTCCATGCAGCGGCAGGATCGTACGGCGGCTTCAGGGAAGTCGAAAGGAGGTGGAGTGTGTTTTTTCATAAATGACAACTGGTGTGCTGCTTCAAGTGTGAAGGAAATCTCGAGATTTTGCCCACCTGATATAGAATACCTCATGGTAAACTGCAGACCCTTTTATCTATCAAGAGAGTTCTCATCCGTAATTATCACGGCTGTTTACATCCCTCCACAAGCCAACAACACTCTGACACTCAACTAACTGTATGAGGCCATAAACAAACAAGAAACCGCTGGCCCAGAGGCAGCGTTTCTGGTGGGCGGAGACTTTAATGCGGGGAGACTTAAAGCCGTCCTTCCTCACTTCTACCAACACATCTCCTGCGCCACTAGGGGCGCTAAAACTCTAGACCACTTTCATTCTACCCACAGAAACGGATACAAGGCCCTCCCTCGTCCTCCCTACGGAAAATCTGACCCTGACTCCATTCTCCTGCTTCCTGTTTACAAACAAAACTCAAGCAGGAAGTATCAGTGATGCGCTCAATACGGACGTGGTCGGATGAAGCAGACGCGAGGCTACAAGACTGTTTTGCTAGTACAGACTGGGATATGTTCCGGGATTCATCCGATAGCATTGAGGCATTTACCACAACAGTCACAGGCTTCATCACTAAATGCATAGACGATGTCGTCCCTACAGTGACTATAAAAACGTATCCAAACGAAAAACCATGGATTACAGGCAATATCCGCTCTGGGCTAAAGGCAAAAGCTACCGCTTACAAGGAACGGGACACGGACATGGACGCATACAAGAAAGCTCGCTCCGACTTCCGACAAGACATCAAACATGCAAAAGGACAATATAGGATGAAGGTGGAATCCTATTACACCAGCTCCGACGCTCATCGTATGTGGCAGGACTTGCAGACGATAACGGATCACAAAGGGAAACCCAGCCATGCAGAACTCCCAAACAAGCTAAATGCCTTGCATGAAAGCCCCTGTTTTTCCGGATCTCACTCTCCATGGCTGATGTGAGCAAAATGTTTTAACAGGTTAACACTTGCAAGGCCGTCGGGCCAGACGGAAAACCAGGGCGCATTCTCAAAGCATGCGCAGACCAACTGGCAAGTGTCTTCACAGACATTTTCAATCTCTCCTTGTCCTAGTCTCTAATCCCAACATGTTTCAAGCTGACCACCATTGTCCCTGTTCCTAAGAGCTCCAAGGTAACCTACCTAAATGACTATCGCCCTTTAGCACACGTGTAATTATGAAGTGCTTTGAAAGGCTACTCATGTCACACATCAACACCATTATCCCAGACACCCTACACCCACTCCCATTCGTATACTCCCTGTTCACCCACGACTGCGTGGCCACGCATGACTCAAACACCATCATCAAGTTTGCTGACAACACTACGGTGGTAGGCCTGATCACCAACGGCGATGAGTCAGCCTACAGGGAGGAGGTCCGAGACTTAGCAGTGTGGCTCAAGGACAACAACCTCTCCCTCAATGAGCTGATTGTGGACTATAGGAAAAAGAGGGGAGAGCACGCCCCCATCCACATTGACAGGGCTGTTGTGGAGCAGGTCGATAGCTTTAAGTTCCTTGGCATCCACATCACTAAGGACTTAACATGGTCCACACACACCCGCACAGTCTTGAAGAGGGTTTGGCGTGGGCCCTCGCAAAGTGCTACAGAGGGTGGTGCGGACAGCCAGGTACATCACCGGGGCCAAGCTCCTTGCCATCCAGCCACCCAAGCCATAGACTGTTCATTCTGCTACCATCCGGCAAATGGTACCGGAGCATCGGCGCTCGGACCAACAGGCTCCGAGACAGCTTCTACCCCCAAGTCATAAGACTGCTTAATAGCCATACTGCTAAATAGTCAATTAATGGTACCCAAACTACCTGCACTGACTCTATCTTGCACTGACCCTACGCACACTCACTAGACTATATATACAAACCATATACACGCTCACTCACACACACTACATTGACACTCCCACACAAAACCCACACACATTTACATACAGTACCAGTCAAAAGTTTGGACACACCTACTCATTCCAGGGTTTGTCTTTATTTTTACTATTTTCTACATTGTAGAATAATAGTGAAGACATCCAAACAATGAAATAACACATATGGAAACATGTAGTAACCAAAAAAGTGTTAAACAAATCAAATATATTTTATATTTGAGATTCTTCAAAGTAGCCACCCTTTGCCTTGATGACAGCTTTGCACTTTCTTGGCATTCTCTCAACCAGCTTCATGAGGAATGCTTTTCCAACAGTCTTGAAGGAGTTCCCACATATGCTGAGCACTTGTTGGCTGCTTTTCCTTCACTCTGCGGTCCAACTCATCCCAAACCATCTCAATTGGGTTGGGGTCAGGTGATTGTGGAGGCCAGGTCATCTGATGCAGCACTCCATCACTCTCCTTCTTGGTCAAATAGCCCTTACACAGCCTGGAGGTGTGTTTTTGGTCATTGTCCTGTTGAAAAACAAATGATAGTCCCACTAAGCGCAAACTAGATGGGATGGCGTATCGCTGCAGAATGCCTTCATGTTCATATCTACCTCAAATATCTTGTACCTCTGCACATTGATCTGGTTCTGGTACTCCCTATATATAGCTTCATTCTTGTGTATTTTATTTATTGTATTCCTCTTGTGTTACTATTTTTAAACTCTGCATTGTTGGGAAGGGCTCATAAGCAAGCATTTCACAGTAAAGTCTACACCAGGTGTATTCGGCGCATGTGACAAATAACATTTTATTTGATTATATTTTTGTTATGCGTATGCTTGTCATCGGACTAGGACGTTTATTTTAGGATACAAATAAATGGAATAGAGTTAAGCACAGGCAAAATCCTAAAGGAAAACCTGGTTCGGTCTGCTTTCCAACAGACACTGGGAGACAAATTCACCTTTCAGTAGGACATTAACCTAAAACACAAGGCCAAATATACACTGGAGTTGCTTACCAAGATGACATTGAATGTTCCTGAGTGGCCTAGTTACAGTTTTGACTTAAATCGGTTTGAAAATCTATGACAAGACTTGAAAATGTCTGTCTAGCGATGATCAACAACCAACTTGACAGAGCTTGAAAAAAATGTGTACCTGTACAATCTAGGTGTGAAAACCTCTTGGAGACTTACCCAGAAAGACTCGCATCCGTAATCGCTGCCAAAGGTGACTGTAACATGTATTGCCTCAGGGGTGTGAATACTTATGTAAATGATATATTTCTGTATTTCATGTTTACACTTTGTCATTATGTTGTATTGTGTGTAGATGGGTGAATTTTTTTTTATTTCATCCATTTTGAATTCAGGCTGTAAAACAACAAAATGTGGAATAAGTCAAGGGGTATGAATACTTTCTGAAGGCACTGAATCTCCCTTGGTATTAGAGGTGAACAACACAGCAGTCTTAGAAAAAAGTGGCCATGGCATTCCAGCTTGTATAATTAGAGGCTGACAGTTCCCAACCGCTTAGGGGAGACCCTCAAAGCTAGGAGTTTAGGCTGATGGTGTTATCTCCACACCAACCACAGGCTGGCTGGGAAGTATTTTGTTTCCCAAACACGGGACAACCGTGCTGAATGACACCAGCCTTCTGTTCTGTGAGATTAACTTGTGCCGACACGTTTAACTGATGTCTCAAGTCTTCCTGTGTTCCTTTCATTCTCAGCACCTAGAACAGATAAGTGCACAGTCATTCAAAGAGTCTTTCAAAGGCATTCCAGTGTGGAGTGTTTAGCTATCCCGCATGGAGGTCCACCGCCAAGTACAATAGTGACCGTGTGTTTAGATAGTCAAAGGAAGGTGTGTGTGTGTGTGTAGATGAGTTGGATGGCCAGCTGCATTTTGAATAGTTTTTTGAAGACCCCAGGTTCATAGGCCCCCTGCTGCCTGTCCATATACTCAAACACACGCACACACTCCCACATGAACACACAGACATTAACACAGACTACATGCACGCACGTTTTAAACACACACAGGAAATTGTGTGTTCCGTTTGAGAGGACAGGTTGATGGTGTCATGATGTAGCCATTCTCCATCATTGAGAAATCCTAAAGGCATTATTGGGGTTTTTGCTGATCTGAAAGTGTCCTCAACTACAAGCCATAGGGATTAACCATGCAATCAGCCAGCTACTATGGAAGGAAACAACCTAATAAGGGTCAGAGTAAGACACAGACATATGGGCCTGAGGATTTAGGGTGCAATGAAAACTAGAATAAAACAGCCCGAGACATTGACATTTAGTCTGCTGCATTAAACTGTCACTCAACATAAAAAAGCCTATATTAGAATACTGTATACCTCTGATGCATCTCTGGACCACATACAGTGCTATGAAAAAGTATTTGCCCCCTTTCTAATTTTCTCTACTTTTGCATATTTGTGATACTGAATGTTATCAGATCTTCAACCAAAACCTAATATTAGATAAAGGGAACATAAGTGAACAAATAACACAACAATTACATATTTATTTCATTTATTTCATAAACAAAGTTATGCAACACCCAATTCCCCTGTGTGAAAAAGTAATTGCCCCCTTACACTCAATAACTGGCTGTGCCACCTTTAGCTGCAATGACTCCAACCAAATGCTTCCTGTAGTTGTTGATCAGTCTCTCACGTCGCTGTGGAGGAATTTTGGCCCACTCTTCCATGCAGAACTGCTTTAACTCAGTGACGTGTGGGTTTTCAAGCATGAACTGCTCGTTTCAAGTCCTGCCATAACATCTCAATTGGGATTAGGTCTGGACTTTGACTAGGCCATTCCAAAACGTCTAATTTGTTGCTTTTTAGCAATTTTTATGTAGACTTGATTGTGTGTTTTGGATCATTGTCTTGCTACATGACCCAGCTGCGCTTCAGCTTCAGCTCACAGACGGATGGTCTAACATTCTCCTGTAGAATTCTCTGATACAGAGCAGAATTCATGATTCCTTCTATTAAGGCAAGTCGTCCAGGTCCTGAGGCAGCAAATCATCCCCAAACCATCACACCACCACCACCATGCTTGACCTTTGGTATGATGTTCTTACTGTGGAATGCAGAGTTTGGTTTTCGCCAGGCATTACTGGAACCATGTCGTCCAAAGAGTTATACTTTTGAATCATCTGTCCATAGAACGTTCTTCCAAGAGTCTTGATGATCATCCAGGTGCTTTTTGGCAAACTTGAGTCAACTTTTTGGACGAGATGGGTCCCATTATGCCTGGCGAAAACCAAACTCTGCATTCCACAGTAAGAACATCATACCAAAGGTCAAGCATGGTGGTGGTGGTGTGATGGTTTGGAGATGCTTTGCTGCCTCAGGACCTGGATGACTTGCCTTAATAGAAGGAATCATGAATTCTGCTCTGTATCAGAGAATTCTACAGGAGAATGTTAGACCATCCGTCTGTGAGCTGAAGCTGAAGCGCAGCTGGGTCATCCAAAACACACAATCAAGTCTACATAAAAATTGCTAAAAAGCAACAAATTGGACGTTTTGGAATGGCCTAGTCAAAGTCCAGACCTAATCCCAATTGAGATGTTATGGCAGGACTTGAAACGAGCAGTTCATGCTTGAAAACCCACACGTCACTGAGTTAAAGCAGTTCTGCATGGAAGAGTGGGCCAAAATTCCTCCACAGCGACGTGAGAGACTGATCAACAACTACAGGAAGCATTTGGTTGGAGTCATTGCAGCTAAAGGTGGCACAGCCAGTTATTGAGTGTAAGGGGGCAATTACTTTTTCACACAGGGGAATTGGGTGTTGCATAACTTTGTTTATGAAATAAATGAAATAAATATGTAATTGTTGTGTTATTTGTTCACTTATGTTCCCTTTATCTAATATTAGGTTTTGGTTGAAGATCTGATAACATTCAGTATCACAAATATGCAAAAGTAGAGAAAATTAGAAAGGGGGCAAATACTTTTTCATAGCACTGTATGTAGGATCTTAATTTGATCACTCTTTTGTTGCTGAGAATGTTCCTTAACTGCAAACTTGTAGTGTATTCAAGGTTTAAAAAGGCTTCTAAAGTTTGTAATTTCCACTTTAAAAGGTCAGACTTTATTTGCCCTAACGAAAAATTTATCAACCCCAACAAAAATCCATGAATTATAATCCACATAATAATTCACATTTCCTGTTGCTTCAGGATAATTTCCCTGCTGTAGCAAACTGGCTCAAATAAGATCCTACATCTGTACCTTCCTTCATTAGGATGCTAGGATGGAGGGGGATGTGTCTGCCTGAGCCCCTAGTGCTGCTCTGCAGCTTCTCAGCTAATCTCAGACCTCCGTCTTAAACTTTTAACAGAGGAGTCTCCAGTTCCAGTAAGCATTGTTCTCGTCATTCTGCAACCCTGGGTCTCTCAGGTGCTGAATCAGCAAGCCAGAGCTGAAACGTTTCCAACAGAGTCTCCAGTGAGCTCCCATTTCCTGTTAAAGCCCCCCAAATGACACAGTCCTGAAACAGCCTCCCCTAATCAATCGTGCCTATGAGTGCCCAGGACAGGACGAAAGAAGGTTTAGCATAGGAAGAAATGCAACAAGGAATCTCCCACAGGACCCAAACTGTAAACTGGTTGATTGGTCTGCCTGTCTGTGCAATATGTAGCCGTCTCACTCCCATAACATTGTTGCTCGTCTGCTGTTTAACAAAGTGAAGGGACAGATTATTATTCTTGGTGATTCTGTGAGTAGAATGTGTACGTTAAGTCTTTACAGTTCATATCATGTTTAGGATTTAATAGTTCATCTCTTGCTTTCATCAACCAGATTAAGTGAAGGGGTCGTGACAGCCATTCTTTCTGAACTCACAAGGGTGTCTTCACAAGTTACTGTAGGTCAATAAATCTCAATGCAGTGGTGGTGCTCTGATGAGCTTTAAGCCTCAAGACACTCAGCTGACTGCCCCTTGGGAGGGCTACTATAATCTGGAAGAAGCCTCCTTCTCTATTTTCTAATTCCTAGAATCACTGATCTGAGAAAATAGAATAGGTGAAAGCACTGCCTGAGAGCAATAAACACTTGACCTTGTCTACTGCAAGGCTTTTGTCACAGTGCTATAATATCTCCATTGTGTTCAGTTCACTTACATAAGTAGGACCCATATACTACCCACCATTGTGACCTGTACGCTCTCGTTGGCTGGCCCTCACTACATAATCGTCGACAAACCCACTGGCTCCAGGTCATCTATAAATCACTTCTAGGCAAATCCCCGCCTTATCTTAGCTCATTGGTCACCATAGCAACACCCACCAGTAGTATGTGCTCCAGCAGGTATATCTCACTGGTCATCCCCAAAGCCAACATCTCCTTTGGCCACCATTCCTTCCAGTTCTCTGCTGCAAATGACTGGAACGAACTGCAAAAATCTCTGAAGCTGGAGACACTCATCTCCCTCACTAACTTTAAGTATCAGTTGTCAGAGCAGCTTACCAATCACTGCACCTGTACACAGCCCATCTGTAATTATCCCACCCAACTACCCCCATATTGTTATTTACATAGTTATTTATTTTGCTCATTTGCACCCCAGTATCTCTATTTGCACATCATCTTCTGCACATCTATCACTCCAGTGTTAATACTAAATTGTAATTATTTTGCACTATGGCCTATTTATTGCCTTACCTCCATAACTTACTACATTTGCACAAACTGTACATAGATTTTCTATTGTGTTATTGACTGTACATTTTGTTTATTCCATATGTAACTCTGTGTTGTTGTTGTTTTTTTCCGCACTGCTTTGCTTTATCTTGGCCAGGTCGCAGTTGTAAATGAGAACTTGTTCTCAACTGGCTTTCCTGGTTAAATAAAGGTGAAATAAAATAAAAATAAAAATAGGACTTGGTAACAGGACCGGTCCTGGCTGATATGCCGCCCTCCTCCTATCCCAGCAAAGTAAAATAGTAGCCTAGTAGCCCGCAATGCACTTTTATGAATGCCCATCCATGTGCAAGTTATTGTTTGTAAAACAGGCTGTTGCATTGGCTTTATAGTCCTGATACCTGACAAAGTCCTAAGACTAATCATTTTGGCTATTCAAGCTCTGAATTTCAGCTACCATAGGCGGCACGTCTTAAAGTCAATTGAAATACATTTGATATAATTACTCCTGTCTTTACAGAAAATAAATAAAATCATTTCAAAATACTTCACCAGGGAGCATGATTTAGCTGTGGTTTGTTTCAAATCACAAGAGCGTAGGCCAATGGCTTGTTTGGAAGCCAGCAATTTGGGCAGCACCCAGCACTCATGGCAATAGCCCTAGCTGATTATTGAGTTGCGGCTGTCAGGGAAAAGCATCTAAAATATGTGTGAAGATAATGTCTTGAGTATAATGTCAAATCCCTCTCCAGAATGCACTCAGCTCTCCAGAATGTTGCTCAGCTGTCTCCATCCAATTCTTGCGCATTAATTCCCACTGGGTACAGACGTTCAACGTCTATTCCACGTTGGTTCAACGTTGATTCAACCAGTGTGTGCCCAGTGGGTTGTTTCATTGTGTGAATTGTTTGCCCGTTGATTGTTTATTTTAATAAATTCCCCATTACATATGTAACCAGTAGTACATTTACCGTTAATCCCAGTCATTTGGTTACATTAATTTCTGTTAATGCATGTATTAATTCTCAGAGTGGAAAAGTTGTTTGCAGAGTTCACATTAACCTGCTACACTTGTGAGAAACAAGTTTGGGTTTTTGTTTCATACCATTTACAAGTTTTGTAAATGTTTTCCTTGTCTTTTGTTTGGAGCGCCCCATGTGAGTAATGAGCATGTCTCTGGTTTATTTCTCTGTCCTGTTAATGTTGACGGAGGAAAGAAATTCCACAAATTAACTTTTAACAAAGTACACCTGTTAATTGAAATGCATTCCAGGTGACTACCTCATGAAGCTGGTTGAGAGAATGCCAAGAGTGTGTAAAGCTGTCATCAAGGCAAAGGGTGGCTACTTTGAAGAATCTCAAATATAAAATAAACTTTGATTTGTTTAACAAATGTTTTGGTTACTACATGATTCTATATGTGTTATTTCTTAGTTTTGATGTCTTCACTATTATTCTACAATGTAGAAATAGTAAAAATAAAGAAAAAACGTTGAATGAGTAGGTGTGTCCAAACTTTTGACTGGTACTGTGTATATATATATATATATATTAGGGCTGTCAAAAATAGCGCGTTAACGACGTTAATTAGTTGTTTGCTGTTAATTACGTCAATTTTTTTAACGCATTTCACGCATGCGCAGTGTGACAAATTATTCAGGTCAGGAAAGTGGTTGGGAGCTAGAGGCGAGATGGAGCAAGGTGAGCAAAGTGGGCCTATTGACGGATTCAAATATAAAAAGAATGATGATGGTACAGTTAACAAGTACAAGGTTATTTGCAAGATTTGTAAGAAGGAGTTTCAATTTCACCGGAGCTGTTCAAGCTTGAAGTACCATGTCAACGCCAAACATGCGTTTGCTGGGCCGTCAGATTCAGCAAGTGGTTTGCGCCAGACCACGCTGAATGTTTGCAGGCAATTAACAAAATCAACCTCAGATAATTTGACCAACACAATAGCAAAATGGATTGCAAAGGATTGTAGACCCATTAGCATTGTAGAAGACTCAGGTTTCCTTGATGTTTTGCAAGTGGCGTCTCAAGACTCATTCTATAAGCCACCGTCAAGAGCCACAGCCAAAGACAAATATTATGGTGTGTAGTATGTTTCAGCTTGATTTAAAACACCATTATTTGGCTGTGTTAATAAACAGACATAATATGAAAATTATGTATCTGTGTCCTGTTATTTATCTTTTGGTATGCATTTCAGAAAAAAAATGGTTAGGATTCAGGTGTAATTGCAAATAGTGATTAATCATGATTAATCCACTGAAAATTCGGATTAATTTGATTAAAAATTTTAATCATTTGACAGCCCTAATATATATATTTATTTTTTTGTCATTTAGCAGACGCTCTTATCCAGAGCGACTTACAGGCACAATTAGGGTTAAGTGCCTTGCTCAAGGGCACATCGACAGATTTTTCACCTAGTCGGCTCGGGGATTAGAACCAGCAACCTTTCAGTTACTGGCACAACACTCTTAACCACTAAGCTACCTGCCGCCCCAATATATCATCAACATCAAGAAATTTGGACAACATGGAATTACATGGATATACAGTATCTTATGTAGAATCTTAAAGTGCACTTCCTTAAATTTTTTGGTATACATTATTTGTAAGGCATCAACCCCGCTTTTTTCCAGACAATGTCAGGAATAAACATGTTCCAAACAAAATGTACCTCTAGGCATAAATTGGTTCCTTGAATGTCTTTATGTATTTGTTACAGCAAGATTTCTCAAGTAAGCCCATGCCTTCCAGGCTGAGTTCTGGATAACCTCTGTGATCATCACCAAAGCTAAGATGAGTTTTCATTAGTGTAGTTAGACCACTAGGAATGGCTTTGATCACAGAAATAAACTCTCTGAAAGGTATTGGAAACTCATTCAGTGTAATAAATTGTTCGTATGAAAGAATATTACCCCTGTTGTCGAACACGTCAAGAACAAAGTTAATATTTATTTCATGCCAGCTAGGGTAGAACAATTACTTATTCCTTACAGTTATGTCTGAATTATTCCACAAAAGAGCCTTATGCGGGGAAAAGTTGTGCAGGAAACATATTTTCCAGGACATTAAAGCTTGTTGGTGAAACCTACCCAATTTAATTGGTGATCTTTCAAGAAAATAATTACATTTCAGTCAAAATGTAAGACCTCACAACTTATTAAACACATTGTTTGGAATGAAATACCAAATGGATTCTGTATTGACCAAACATATTTTCAACCAATTGACCTTGAATGTGTTATTTTTGTCAACAAAATCCAACACTACCAGACCTCCTTCAGATCTCTTATTTCAGAGGATTGACTTTTTAGTTTGTAAGACTTATTTTTCCAGATAAAGTCAAGAAATGTCTTGTCAATCTCATTACAGGAAGAGGGATTTACAAATAAAGACAATGAGGGGTACACAAAGTGAGACAGTCCCTCTGCCTTGGACAGAAGCACTCTCCCAAGTATAGATAGATCCCTTTGTAGGCAATTATTAAATATGTACTTTGTTTTCATAATTTTAGGAGAGAAATTCATATGTATTCCTAAATATTTAACGCAGTCCTTTACAGGAATATTTTATATTTCTTTATCATCAGAGTCATATACTGTAAACATAAGATTTCACATTTAGAAACATTCAGTTTTAATCCAGACACAATAAAGAATGCAGTGACGGCATTAAGGGAATGGAAGACCTGGTCTTTGTCTCTTTAAAAAATAGTAGTATCGTCAGCCAGCTGGGAATTCCTTTTTTCTCAGTCAAAAATTGATAAGCCATGCAAATTTGCATTATTCAGAATATCTAGAGATATAAGTTCCACTACCAAGATGAATAAGAAAGGCGAAGACGAACATCCCTGTCGTACGCTTCTGTTGATACTGACTCTTTTGGATATATTCAGGTTTAGTATCACATAACTATTTATATCTTTGTAAAACATGTGAATGACTTTGATCACATTTTTACCGAAACCAAAAAACGTTTCAGAGACCGAAAGAGAAATTCATGTTCAGCTGTGTCAAAGGCTTTACAGAAGTCTAAACATAAAATAACAGCATCTTAGTCAATTGCATCTGAATAATCCATAAGATCCAAGACTAAAATAATGTTGAAACGTAATGTGATGCCCCTTCATAAAGCCTGTTTGAGTCTCATTTATAATTGGATTGATTCCTTTCTTTAATCCTTTGGCATAAACCAGAGCAATCAATATGTAATAAAGTGATTGGTCTCTAATTGTCAATGAGAGAGAGGTCTTTATCAGGTTTTGGAATCGGTGAAATAAGGCCCTGCTTCATAGTGGAAACCATTTCAGAAGTTCCAATGCAATCTTGAAACACATAAAAAATAGGCTCTTCTAGTAACTCCCAAAACTGCGTATAAAATTCAACTGACAGGTCATCAGATTTTTCCTCAATTGACACAATTGATTCGCAAACTGAGTGTAATTAATCCTCAATCACATGGACATACAGTGGGGAAAAAAAGTATTTAGTCAGCCACCAATTGTGCAAGTTCTCCCACTTAAAAAGATGAGAGAGGCCTGTAATTTTCATCATAGGTACACGTCAACTATGACAGACAAAATGAGAAGAAAAAAATCCAGAAAATCACATTGTAGGATTTTTAATGAATTTATTTGCAAATTATGGTGGAAAATAAGTATTTGGTCAATAACAAAAGTTTCTCAATACTTTGTTATATACCCTTTGTTGGCAATGACACAGGTCAAACGTTTTCTGTAAGTCTTCACAAGGTTTTCACACACTGTTGCTGGTATTTTGGCCCATTCCTCCATGCAGATCTCCTCTAGAGCAGTGATGTTTTGGAGCTGTCGCTGGGCAACACAGACTTTCAACTCCCTCCAAAGATTTTCTATGGGGTTGAGATCTGGAGACTGGCTAGGCCACTCCAGGACCTTGAAATGCTTCTTACGAAGCCACTCCTTCGTTGCCCGGGCGGTGTGTTTGGGATCATTGTCATGCTGAATGACCCAGCCACGTTTCATCTTCAATGCCCTTGCTGATGGAAGGAGGTTTTCACTCAAAATCTCACGATACATGGCCCCATTCATTATTTCCTTTACACGGATCAGTCGTCTTGGTCCCTTTGCAGAAAAACAGCCCCAAAGCATGATGTTTCCACCCCCATGCTTCACAGTAGGTATGGTGTTCTTTGGATGCAACTCAGCATTCTTTGTCCTCCAAACACGACGAGTTGAGTTTTTACCAAAAAGTTATATTTTGGTTTCATCTGACCATATGACATTCTCCCAATCCTCTTCTGGATCATCCAAATGCACTCTAGCAAACTTCAGACGGGCCTGGACATGTACTGGCTTAAGCAGGGGGACATGTCTGGCACTGCAGGATTTCAGTCCCTGGCGGCGTAGTGTGTTACTGATGGTAGGTTTTGTTACTTTGGTCCCAGCTCTCTGCAGGTCATTCACTAGGTCCCCCCGTGTGGTTCTGGGATTTTTGCTCACCGTTCTTGTGATCATTTTGACCCCACGGGGTGAGATCTTGCGTGGAGCCCCAGATCGAGGGAGATTATCAGTAGTCTTGTATGTCTTCCATTTCCTAATAATTGCTCCCACAGTTGATTTCTTCAAACCAAGCTGCTTACCTATTGCAGATTCAGTCTTCCCAGCCTGGTACAGGTCTACAATTTTGTTTCTGGTGTCCTTTGACAGCTCTTTGGTCTTGGCCATAGTGGAGTTTGGAGTGTGACTGTTTGAGGTTGTGGACAGGTGTCTTTTATACTGATAACAAGTTCAAACAGGTGCCATTAATACAGGTAACGAGTGGAGGACAGAGAAGCCTCTTAAAGAAGAAGTTACAGGTCTGTGAGAGCCAGAAATCTTGCTTGTTTGTAGGTGACCAAATACTTATTTTCCACCATAATTTGCAAATAAATTTATAAAAAATCCTACAATGTGATTTTCTTGATTTTTTTTCTCATTTTGTCTGTCATAGTTGACGTGTACCTATGATGAAAATTACAGGCCTCTCTCATCTTTTTAAGTGGGAGAACTTGCACAATTGGTGGCTGACTAAATACTTTTTTCCCCCACTGTAGCTAAAACCAGTAATAGTTAGTTTCTTGCTACATATTGGACTGGTTACCACCTAACCCTCAAACTTGCTTGTGCAAGTGAAAAAACACTCCCTTTCACAGCAACACCATCTTGGCTCTCCCCTGGAAGCCCACTTTTACTCCTATTTGCAGAGCAATATATGCGTGCATTGCACCCATATGCAGACTTGACGACAAATGTCCACATGGCAGCTGGGGGCGGACCACAACATCTTGTCTCTGTGAAATTGGGTGTCATTGGCAAAACTGGGCATGTAAGTAATCCATACTAGAGGTCTTCACGGATCCACCTTTACCCGAATACCCGAGAGCCGATCTGGGACCCGAGCGGATCCGGATCCAGAATTCTCAATAATGTCACGGGTCTGGATCAGATCTGATATGATTGTCATGGGTCTCGGGTATGTGTAATTTTAACTGACTTGTCCGGAAGGGCCCATACAGATTCAGTATAGAGAGAGAGAAATTGTATAATTTGTGCTGCTGCTCTTGTTTTTCACGAGAGTGGAGCGTGGCACTTGTAGCTTGTTGGCCAACAATAAGTCATCAAATCGACAATAGGCAGTCATAGAGCCTCACTCCATGTGTGGCAAAAGTTAGGATATATCTAATCAATGGAAGATGGAATTAAAATTACGGAATTAAAAGTTAAAGGAGAAGGATAGGCTACACAGTAGCAGTGTGTGGGTAAAATCACTGGGGAAGACAAGCCAGGAAGAAAATGCCACATTACAACCTATGTGTTGTGCTATTTGCGTTGTTTGCACTATAACCTGTTAGTTCATATGCCTTGCCACCGTGATAGGCCTAAGGCCGAGTAAATAAGAAGACACAGTGCAGAATAAATTCAACAACATCTTAGTTTCATTACAAAACCGGAGAGCAATATCTGTCCGGTGAAGTCCACAAAGCATATTGCATGTAACAAACAGTTACATGACCTACAGCATGGTCAAGCAAGTTAATGTTTCTGACATTTTCTCACTACTAAACAACTATTGATTTAGAACCACTGCAAGTTACCGCAAATCGCAAAGAAAACAGGAGCTGCCTCCGCTATTACAGCAACATTTAAACTTCAATATTTCAACATAATAAAATCACCTATGCTTAGTGTTTTTCAGTGACAACTAAAAGATACCGAAAACAATTTAGTCAAATCAATATAAGCTAAATATTATGTGGCTGTCAATGGTACTGATTTATGTGTTGTGTGTGTGCATGCAAGTAGAAAAAACTCCCTACTTGTAGATAAACACTAATTCCATCTCCTGTCTTTCATGTTGCCGAAATGGTCTATGACTTTGTCATACAGTACATGCTTTTAGTTTTTGTTGTCCTAGGCTACCTGGCTAAAATGTTCCTTTCCTGGGCAACGATGAGCTAGCTAGTTAACATTAGCCTACTAGCTACATCTAGCTACATATTATACTTCCATCCTCTCAGGCCAGGGGCACAATGTATGAACTTATGGTTGGATCAAAATCGGCGTAATAATCATTGGCCAGTAAGGATAATTAAGTAAAACCACAAGTCCCTATCTCCATCCACGGCTAATTTAGGAAAGGGACCATTTTAGCTAGCTAGCCACCAGAGAACAACGACACAACGAGATTCAACAATTCAAGTTTTCTGTCAATTACTTTTTGATGTGATGTGATTGGTGTGAATCCAAATCCAAACTGGCTTCCCTTGGACCGTTTTTTAGGTGCGCCAGAATGATTCACAGTTGAGCTCACTCAGTTTAGCTCAACACTGATTGGCTATTATTTTACACTTTTTTTATCAAGGGAGGCCAAATGCTCGCTGGCTTCCCTTGCATTCAATGCTACGGGTAGCAACAATGTCATAATATTTTTGACCAGACAGCATCAGATAGATAGGCTACAAATACAGAGACAGAGGAGCGCTGTTTTGCTCGCTCGGATGCTTTCTCCGTTGAGATACATTCAGCCTCTTGCGAATTAAAGGAAAATGATGAAACACAGAGAGATGAAAGATAGATAAATTATTATTATACATATATATATATATATTTTACATTTTTGGGGGAAGCCGGCTTCCACTTGGCATCCGTGAATACATGCCACTGAGGCTACAGGTTTATACGGAACGGGTCTAGTTGTCCTCGGTGTCAGTGTTGATGTGGATGCGGTTGAGGAGTCAGACAAGACTTTACTAACTGTATAAAACAATACAAAATAAAGGACCTCAAAACAAGGAGGCAAGCGACAACGTAACACAGTGCGTCACAATAAACAAAGTCCAGAGTACTGCACAGGTGACACCAACGGACAGGCGGAAAATAACACACAAACTAACGAAAACAACACAGGAAACTTATAGGGCACATAATCAGACCCAAACGGACACAGGTGTAACAGACAGACCCAACCAAACGAACATCGAAACATTCAACGGTGGCAGCTAGTACTCCGGGGACGACGAACGCCGAAGCCTGCCCGAGCAAGGAGGAGGAGCAGCCTCGGCAGAATTCGTGACACTCGGGTCCGTTCAGAACGGGACCCGTGAAGACCTCTAATCCATACCCAACTCAGTTTTGGATGAGACTGACTTTATGACCAAAATTCAGGATAATTATTATCCTATTTACACTGGGTAGTCAATTTTGACACTAGAATAAATGTTTCTGACTCATATCGATGCCACATAGGCCGTTTTAAAACCAGAGAAGTTGGTTCTAAGGGGCAGTTGACCTTTCATATGAGAAATATGATTTACAGCATTTATTTTTACTTTTTACTTTTTCTACCACTGTACTTAAGTACATTTAAAACCAGATACTTTTAGACTTCACTCAAGGATTATTTTACTGGCTCACTTTCACTTTTACTTGAGTCATTTTCTATTAAGGTATCTTTACTTTTATTCAAGTATGGCAATTGAGTACTTTTTCCACCACTGTGTGGCCGCACCATGAACCAACCAGCCAGCTCGTTCCATTTTGGTATGGCAAAACTCACCAGTCAAACCATCACAGAAAAGCTAAGAAATAGGAGAAAGGCTACATTAATTAAACCAACCTGTTTTTGACTAAACAAGGTTATGACGAGAGGACAAGCTTTCCGATGAAGGACCAGAGTTTTCTGTGGAGGGATGGGAGAGAGAGGGAGGTGAGCTCTGTTTAAAGTTGGGGAATTTGAGAGGGGATGTGAAAAGGGGTCTGAGTTTGAAACACAGGATGATCCCCATAACTGCTGTCCCATTCACTCTACTGTATGTAGTTGATACCTTATGCTAAGGGTGTAATTTAAATGATAATTTGGTTTGGCAGAACTGCGACAATATAGCTGGCTAATACAGAAAGAGCATCCAGGATATAACTTGGCTAAGACAGCTTTTTTTTTTTCTACAACCGTTGACTGGGGAACTGTTTGGGAATGTACACATCAAGTGGTTGGGACATAATTTTGTGTCTGCAAGTGCCATGGAATTTGTAGAAGCTGAGAAGAAATTTTAACCAGTGGAAACATTGGCCTGCGTTTACTAGTGCTGGTTGACATTACTGCACCATCTGCAAGTATTTGATTGGTTTATACATCAAGTTGTAATCCAATAGGAACCAAATGTCCCGAGACTTAGGCTATATGCTAGACTTGATAAGTAGGGGAAACATTGGCCATATGCAACAGAGCAAAGAGTGAGAGAGGAATGGGTTGGAAGCTGTTGATTGGCGAAGATGCTGTAACATTTACTGTTCCGTGAGATACTGTTCTGTGCTGACCGTCATTATTTGTACCTAAAATAATGCACAACAAAAGTTTTCTCTGAAGAACACTGGTTCAAGCATCTGTCAGATGTTGATTGTTTGAATCATTTGAATAGCTTAGCTGTTTAACTCCTGATAATCACATTAAAAAACACTATGTTTGGACAAACACACAATTTCCTTCCAGCTTTATAATAAAAATGATGTCATACCAGCCCATTGAACATTCTCCTGCATTAGGAAACAACTCCTTCACCACAATTTAGGCTTGATTATTACTTTTAATAAACTCTGCAGGCCATTACTTGATCTATTCTCTGTAATTGAGTACCACAAACATAAATGTAAAACAAATGCGAACTTTTCCTCAGGCTTGCCCTTGGAGAGCAGCCAAAGCTCACAGTAAAGAAAGGAGCAGTGCCCTTAACGAGAGGCAGACCAAACAAGTGTGTCATTTCCCCTCCTTTTATGCCAGGGTAACCATGGTGTTGTATTAATATGTATTTTGCCACCTTGAGAGATGTGATAACGGACTTCCTTCATTTGATGGGAGGTGTGTGTGTGTGTGTGTGTGTGTGTGTGTGTGCAGATGTCTGCTGGGAGAGGTTATGAGTGATATGGTTTAAACACCACAATTAATAAAAACAACAGAGCAAAAGAAGAAAAATGTGAGACATAGAGAGAATACGCCACTTAGTTTAGATGAGTTCGGATGAGAACTTTTAATGTTTCGCCTGAAGGTAAATGTCATTGTGCTGCCAAATGCCTTTGTAATGCTTAAGTGTTTTTGTGTAGCTGCTGAAGAAGTGTCATAATGTTTTACTGCTGGTGTTCTAACTGTTATGCTACGGGTATTCCCCTCTGTGTCACACAATTTGAGGTTTTATAAGACAGCTGTGGCCCAAAGCATAGTTGAGATAAACAGATACCAAAGCCACACACTGAGGAGGATAAAATACATGTTATTTTAACCCTGCTTGACACCCCAACAGCAGCATCACACAAGTTGCCACACTTCAGTCTTAAAGCCTTACTGTGTGTGTGTGTGTGTGTGTGTGTGTGTGTGTGTGTGTGTGTGTGTGTGTGTGTGTGTGTGTGTGTGTGTGTGTGTGTGTGTGTGTGTGTGTGTGTGTGTGTGTGTGTGTGTGTGTGTGTGTGTGTGTGTGTGTGTGTGTGTGTGTGTGTGTGTGTGTGTGTGTGTGTGTGTGTGTGTGTGTGTGTGTGTGTGTGTGTGTGTGTGTGTGTGCGTGCGTGCGTGCGTGCGTGCGTGCGTATGGAATTCAAATGCAATGCATCTTCATCCCCTGTCTCTCTGTGTTCTCCAGGATGGATGAGAACTACAACATCATTCCCCATGGGGTTAACTTCCAAGACCCAATCTTCCCAGACACACCAGAGAACCACCGCATGTTCGCCAGCCTCTTCCAGTTCTCTAACTGCACGGCCGGAACACCGGTCCACACCTACACCCCAGAGTGGGAGGCTGAGGAAGACAGCCGGGTACGAATTAAACTTATCTATCACTCTTGTTTTTATGTGCCTTTGTTACAAAAGTCTTAACAGCATCTCCTAAACAGCAGCTCCTAAACCACCAAAGAGCAAGACCGGCAAAGAAAAATGACCTAGGTTGGAGGAATCTCATCAAAACACATGCAGGAAACCTTTGACAGACACACTATAGACAGCTGATCAAATTTCCTTGCCATTTCCCATGGTTGAGGTAGCATGCAGCGTTGCATATTGTAGAAAGTCTTCCACGATCACTTGCACTTGATAGACAGGAAGTTTTTACTAAAAGGTAGTGCTGCATAGTATTGCTTCCATATAGCCACATTTCCTCATCTGCTTGCATGCGCCTCCCCTATCAAGGTGTCTTGGTACTTCCCTTACTTTTCTGTGTGCTTGCTATACAGTCAACTCTATCCTGCCCTCTATCCATAGTGACAATAGTGGTAGGTGGATTTTGTCCAGATCTGCAATAGGTTAACTAGCAATCATACCACACATAAAATCATTCAAATCTGCACAAATGTTCAATATAAATTCACAAGAACATAGAGGAATAGCTGATAGGCAGTGGAGACGCTAGGTGTGTCATTGCGCATGAAAGAACAGTCAAGACAATAGACACGCAGCTCAAAAAGCACCACTATTGATCTTGTTTAGGCCATACAAATTGTATTTACTATATAATGGATGCCATTCTTCACATAAAAAAAGAGTGATTCATTTAATTCATATGAAACTATTCTTTTTAAACGATTATTTTCTACTAATTGAATAATGTACTTCCCAATTGTAGTAGTTGGGGTTTGGTTAAATCGCAGTGAATCGAATCATGGGAATCAAAATAATAATTTGTGAATTGTAAACAGTAATAGCCTTCCTTTCGAATTGTGTCACTGCAAAACTCATTTTGTAGATACTTTAAGTTGATTTGGTCATTCAATTTATGGGATATTGCAACTCAATTGATACTCGTAGTCAGCCTGAAGTAAACATTTCTAAAGGTAAGATATATATATATAGCTTATTGGCTCTATAAAATCCGCCATGCATGCTGAAACTGTCATTTTCAAAGTTTTTCCCCAAAAACCTTTGTATCAATCGGGCACACATTTGTTTTGCATACTCTGCCATCACACACTGAGTGTACAAAACATTAGGAAAACCTTTCTAATATTAAGTTGCACCCCCTTTTGCCCTCAGAACAGCCTCAAGGTGTTGGGGCATGGACTCTACAAGGTTAACTAGCAATCATACCACACATAAAATCATTCAAATCTGCACAAATGTTCAATATAAAGCCACAAGAATATAAAGGAATATCCATGTCTCAAGGCTTAAATTTTTTTTTTTTACCTGTCTGTTCCCCTTCATCTACACTGATTGTAGTGGATTTAACAAGTGACGTCAATAACTGGTCAGTCTATATAATGGAAAGAGCAGGTGTTCCTAATGTTTTGTGCACTCAGTGTATACGTAGCATCAACATTTTAAAAATCAGATTTCCTCCTAGCTGATTTACATTTTAGTCATTTAGCAGACGCTCTTATCCAGAGTGACTTACAGTTAGTGAGTGCATACATTTTTCATACTGGCCCCCCGTGGGAATCAAACCCACAACCCTGGTGTTGCAAGCACCATGCTCTACCAACTGAGCTACACTGATCATTGCCTGCAGCCGGCTCTGATCGTAGTGTAATGAGACAAAAAGGGAGAATGAGCTCGTCTGTGGTGGTTGGCTAACCCTCAACCTTTTGGCCCGTAGCCCTGTGTGTCATCGACTGTGCCACAAAACCATGCTGAAGTCGATTATCCACGTTTATAAACACAGGGTTGCTACAGTTATTGTTATTTGTGGTGGTAATCATTATTTTAAAGTTAATTCAATGAGGGGGGCTGGTGTGCATTTTATTTTTTACAGTACAGGTGGACAGTCATGTGAAAATATTTTTGTAGAGTATGTTGACTGGAGAGTAGGATGTGGGATGCGGCTGAGAGACAAGGAGACGCATACAGGTTTTTTATCCATCTATGGAGTTTTATACAATGAGCACAGAACTGAAATGTATACTGCCTGTACCTGAGCCTTTGAGACTAATGTTATGGTAGTGGGGGAACCATTGGTTTACTGACAGACTGTTCATATAGGTAAAACATTTTGGTAAAACTTTATTTGGGTAGTCCATCTGTAAATGCTCTAACCCTAACCTTAACCCTTAACCTAACCCTAAACTTAACCCTAACCCTTACCCTAACCCTTATTCTAAACCTAATCCTAACTGTAACCTTAGCAAGCAGTTGCTTATCGACAGATAGTTTGTTGATAGTATGACCATCTTTAGAGCATTTACAGATGGGACTATCCAAATTAAGTGTGACCAAAGCCATGTCTTGTGGTCCTGATTGAAGTAGGTTGAGGGAAAAGTGTGCCTCATACGCATTGTAAACTACCAAATGCTAGCAAACATACTGATGACTATGAAGTCTACACATTTCTCCATAACCTATCCATGGTTCTCCTCAAAGTTTCAGTGTCAATTTGCAAGATCAACACCCGTGATCACGTCATAGAGTCCTGTACGGTTCCTTTATAGAAACTAATAATCTGGCATTTCAACATCTTTAGACGCCATTCATTGAATTCAAAATTTACATCAGTCTTCTCTGTTTCTAATCATGTGCTGACTGCACATAAAAGCCTTCTTTCACGATGAAGGAATAAGAATGGGCTTATGTTTCCATTAATGACCACATCTCAGCTCAAATCTGTAATCATAGGCAAGGCCAAGGAAAATGCACAACATTTTCCTTATGATTACACTCTTAATACTAAATAACTGAATGGAATGGCTAGGCCCACAGGCTGGACTGCTGGACGTCATATACTGTCATCATGCCACACAGACATGACTGTTACTGCTGTGTAAGAGTGACATTCTAGGGTCTTCACATGCAAAACTAATGATAATTACCCAACACACATGCTGTTATGATTATAGTTGTCAATTTCCTGGTTTAGACTGAAATTCCCATGCCAACGGGGATACTCTCATCTGGGACCCACAGCTGTTTTCCCTCAAAAACCTTTAAGATGTCCCTCTGCTAACATGGGTAAATGTTCCACTAAAGCTGGAAATAAATGTATTACTGAAGGGATGAGTGTCACAATTGCGTGTTATGGCTATTATTCTATGGAACCTGGGTCCCTACCATTATGACCACAGTAATACATCTGCCACTTGTGATTAGTGTTTGTTGGTTTGGTTGCGTAAACAGTTGAATGTATCAAAAATTGTCTAACTGGGTTGGCTGCTATGTGAAAGATATGATAGGGATAGCGTTCAAAGATGTCTATGACTTTGGAAGCAAGCACATCAACTCTTAGGTAGCTGGGGTGCAGCTATGGACCATACGTGGGAGAAAGATGCTCAGATCACAGTCCAGATTTTTCAACTCCAGACATTTTCAAGGGCAATTAAATAGGTATGTGTCCACAATATAACTTGTTTTTGGAACACCATAGCATTTCCAATAACAATGGCAGAAAGGGGGGGGGGGCTAGAGAGCGTGCTATGGAATAGACGTGTTTTGTTAGAGCTCCGCTCAATTTTGAAACAAATTCATATTTATCTTAATCTCTCACCACCTATAACTTCAAAAATTGTCTGGCAATATCACAAAGGGAAAAGGCACCAAAAAAGGGGCAGCTAAACAAGATAATTTGGATGAGACAGACAACGAACCGATTTCAACATCGCCGACCCACGAGGAGTTAGCTGAAGATGCTAGCTCCCAAGTGCTCCCCACAGAACCTACTCCAAGTGACCTACTGGCTGCTATAAACTCACTAAGCAAGAAGGTGGACACAAGGTTGGCTGATATCTCAAAGAGTATTGGGACTTTGACTGAAACTGTGAAGGCAACCAAGGGCAGGGTGCATGAGGTTGAGCAGACGACAGTTGATCACGAGGCCAGGCTACAGGACATGTCGTGAAAAGAGCTATGGTTTTTTCTCATCTAAATTCACTGGGCGCTGACATAGTGCTTCTTCAAGAAACTCATATTAAACGCTCGGCTCAGGCCAAACTACGAGTCGGCTGGATCGGTCAGATATACCAGTCTAAGTTTGATGCAAAAGCGAGAGGGGTAGCAATCCTGATAAGGAAAAACATTCCTTTTATTTACTCATCCTCGATTTCAGATTCTAATGGTCGGTACATTATTGTGGCTGGTACACTGAATTTGATACCAATAACCTTGGTCAATTTATATAGACCCAACTTCTATGATCCGTTATTTTTTCAAAAGGTATTTAAGCCATACCAAATATCTCGGATACAAGTGTTATTGTTGGAGGCGACTTTATCTGTACGTTAGATCCTCTTTTAGATAAACAGCTATCAAGGTCACTTCAACAATCAAATGCCAGTGTCTGTCTATATACATTGATGACAAACCTTAAAATTGTTGATATTTGGAGACTGACGCACCCTACAGATAGGGATTATTCTTTATTTTCGTCAGTTCATAAGTCATATTCCAGAATTTACTATTTTTTGTTGGACTCCAAACTAATTTCAGCAGCTGCATCGGTTACACATCATCCGATTCTAATTACGCTTAGACGCATACTTGTTGAAAGATGAGACTTTTTGTCAGTATTTGAAGGAGCAGATTGATTTTTTTCCTCGGAACTAACGACATGGGGGATGTTGACGACTCTACCCTTTGGGAATCTCTCAAGGCTGTGATTAGAGGTTACATTATTTAATATACATCGGAGAGGAAGAAACGCGCCAATACTAGGCTGAAAGAAATTGAAAGAGAGTTAGGGGAACAGGAGAACGTTTTTAGAATGAATTCCTCGAATGCAGTCCTTGAGAAAATCACAAAGTTGAAATATGAATACAATACCATCCTTTTAAAACGGGTGGGCTCTTTACTTGCTAGAACGCAACAAAGTTATTTTGAACTGGGTGACAAACCACATAAATGATTAGCAAGCCAGCTAAGGCATGTACATGCATCTAGAGCTATTCATAAAATAAAAGACAAGAATGGTAAAATAGTAACAGATATTAATAAATTTACTCAGAGCTAGGTCAATCGAAATGCGATTCTACTGATCCACAAACTATGGAACGCTTTCTCACTGAATGTGAACTTCCTAAACTAGACAGGGGGGCAGCTGCTGCACTCGATGCCGGGAAAACTGTAGAAGAGATTAACACAGCGATAGCACAATTTCCAAACAGCAAGGCCCCTTCTATAAGAAGTACTGCACCAGTCTAGCTCCACTTATGTTGCGAATGTTTAAACATTCCAAAGAAAATGCCAAACTCCCGCAAAAACACTGTATGAGGCTACTATAGCACTGATCTTGAAAAAAAGATAGAGATTCCATGGAGATGTCTTCTTATCGCCCCGTGTCGTTGCTCCCCATAGAAAATAAGGTGTTGACAAAGATATTGGCAAACCGATTGAATAAATATGTTTCTGACATCATACACCCTGACCAGACAGGTTTTATTCCAGGCCGACATATATACTACAATTTGATATGCCTTTTCAACGTAATGTATCATGACCATAAAGTTGAGGCAGTGGTAATTGCTCTTGGCGCAGAGAAGGCGTTTGATCAGTTTGAGTGGAAGTATATGATGTCGGTTCTGGAGCATTTCGGGTTTGGAAATTAATTTAATAATTGGATAAGAATTATTTATGCACACCCAATGGCATCCGTGGTAACCAATCAGGAGATATCGCAGTCATTCCGACTGTTCAAAGGCTGCCAACAGGGGTGCGCTATTTCGCCTGCTCTCTTCGCTACAGCCATGGAATCCCTTGCTACTGTCATTCATGTACGTGCCGATATAACTCACGTTAAAATAAAAGACACGTAGCACAAAATGTCCCTCTATGCAGACGATGTCCTTTTGTTTTTATCCAAGCCTAAGATGTTTATTCCCCCCTTACTTAACTTGATAAATACATTTGGCTCCTTCTCTGGCTACAAGATAAACTGGCAAAAAAGTGAATTGATGCCGATATCACTGCCTGTGGATATGCAATTGATGCACTCTACCCCATTTTAGAACAGTGATGGACAAATTCACAAGCCTTGGCATTGAAGTGACAAGAAAACTTGATCAGCTATTGAAAATGAATTGGGACATGAAAATTGATCAGCATAAACAAAATAATGATTTTTGGAAAACTCTGCCTATCTCCGTGGTTGTTCGTATAAACGCTATTAAAATGGTTGTCCTACCCAGTTTTCTTTACCTCTTCCAATGTCTACCCAATTTCATACCAAAAAGCTATTTTAAGAAACTGGATTCAATAGTAATTCCATTCTTATGGGATAACAAGGCAGCCAGAATTGCAAAGAAGCATTTATGCATGTACAAGATAGAGGGGGGATTTGGCCTTCCTCACTTTAAACTGTATTATTGGGCTGCTAATCAAATCAAATCAAATCACATTTTATTGGCCACATGCGCCGAATACAACAGGTGCAGACATTACAGTGAAATGCTTACTTACAGCCCTTAACCAACAGTGCATTTATTTTTTATAAAAAAGTAAAATAAAACAACAACAAAAAAGTGTTGAGAAAAAAAGAGCAGAAGTAAAACAAAACAACAGTAGGGAGGCTATATATACAGGGGGGTATGGGTGCAGAGTCAATGTGCGGGGGCACCGGCTAGTTGAGGTAGTTGAAGCAATATGTACACGTGGGAAGAGCCAAAGTGACCATGCATAAACAATCAACAGAGTAGCAGCAGCGCAAAAAGATGGGGTGGGGGGGCAGTGCAAATAGTCCGGGTAGCCATGACTAGCTGTTCAGGAGTCCTATGGCTTGGGGGTAGAAGCTGTTGAGAAGTCCCTTGGACCCAGACTTGGCACTCCGGCACCGCCTGCCGTGCGGTAGCAGAGAGAACAGCCCATGACTAGGGTGGCTGGAGTCCTTGACAATCCTGAGGACCGTCCTCTGACACCGCTCAATCCGAATATTGTGTCTTTCTGGAGGGAAAGTTTACTTGGGATCCGACAGAATGATATGCCTTCATAGCTTTTGATGGAGCAGGCCTCCTGTCACTCCCTGCACTTGTTAATAGCCCAGCATATGTGAACAACGCCACTTATGACTCTAACCTAGTCATTTGTCACACTCTTAGGATCTGGAAACAGATTAAGTATTTTCTTAACATACCCACTGTATAAATTGACAGCCCAATTTCCCTGAATCATGCTTTCCACCCTGCATTGGATGATATGGTGTTTTCACAGTGGAGGGAAAAGGGGCTCACAACAATTGATAACTTATACATTGATGGTCATTTAGCTTCATTTCAACAATTACAGGGTAAGTTTAACATGCCTGCAACACATTTTTTCAGATACCTCCAAATTAGGAATTTCTTAAGGACACATATCCCACAGTATGGCATTAAGCCAAAGAATCCTACATTGGATAGCCTTGTACTTGTCAAACCCCATTCAAAAGGGTCGGTCTCTAGACTTTATGATGTGCTACAGGCCCACATAGAGGTATCCACAGACACGTTTAAAAGGGCTTGGGAGCAAGAACTTGGTTCAGAAATCTCAGATGAGGACTGGGTAGCAGCTCTCAGGAATATAAACCAAAGTTCAGTGAATGCCAGACACAATCTTGTTCAGTGAAAGGTAATACAAAGGTTACATTACTCAAAAGTGAAACTGCATAAAATATTCCCAGACACCTCACCACTGTGTGAAAGGTGCAAGCAGGATGAGGGGACGTTGACCCACTTGTTTTGGACATGTCCTAAGTTACATGTTTACTGGGCTCTCATTTGTTATTACTTATCTAAAGCCTTTGATAGAGTTATAGCCCCAGACCAATTGATTGCTCTGTTTGGTACAGTTGATGGGAATAACCAGGAAGAAAAGGCTGTCTCTCTTTGTACTGTATTAGCCAAAAGGCTCATATTGCAATTTTGGAAATTGGAGACTGTACTTACCTTTGAAATGTGGTTACGGGATTTAGGGAATGTAATGCATATGGAAAAGATTCGATACAATACCTCCAATAGAAGTCCAATGTTTTACAAAATATGGCAGCCAATACTGGATAAATGGTCTAGTCCGCTTCATAACTTGGTTGATGCTCTGCTGCTACTCTTTGCTGTACTCCACTCAATATTTATTTTTGGCTTAACTACACTGCTTGTAATGACTATATGCGGTCTTCTTATAATATCTACCACCTAATGGGATTTTTTTTTTTTTTTTTTTTTTGTATGTGTGAGTTAAGTTTTGTTTTGTCCTCTAAATTTGCCATCCCATTCAACAGTACAATGAATGTCAATGTTTGTATTTCTGTATTTTTTAAATTTTATTTTTATTGGAAAATAATAAACGTAAACAATAAAAATAAAATAAAAACAATGGCAGAAAGATGTGGAAATCGGGACTTTACAGTGGGTACCTTTCGTCTGAGTGAAACACATACTCAGGTAAATACTCCCCATCTCTCCTTCCAGCTGCTTTGGTTACCTGGAATTTGCTGTTTAGAGATGGCCTGGCTGGTCTAGCAGGAATGCCGCAGCCTCCAGCACATACCGTATATACTGTATGTTCAGTGTCGGCATAGGTTTTAATCTGGCCTACTGCTATTTGACAAAACCTCTTTGTTTTTTTCCTAATCACTCAGTGATCGATAGAGCTAGAGACAAACAACTTACAGTGCCTTCAGAAAGTATTCATACCCCTTGACTTACAGTATTCCACATTTTGTTGTGTTACAGCCTGAATTCAAAATGGACTCAATGGATTTTTTACTCACCCATCTCCACACAATACCCAATAATGACTAAGAGAAAACATGTTTTTAGCCATTTTTGCTAATTTATTGAAAATTAAATACAGAAATATCTCATTTACATAAGTATTCACACCCCTGAGTCAATGCTTTATAGAAGCACCTTTGGCAGCAATTACAGCTGTGAGTCTTTATGGGTAAGTCTCTAAGAGCTTTCCACACCTGGATTGTGCAAAATTTTGCCCATTATTCTTTTCAGAATTCTTCAAGCTCTGTCAAATTGGTTGTTGATTATTGCTAGACAACCATTTTCAGGTCTTGCCATAGCTTTTCAAGTAGATTTAAGTCAAAACTGTAACTTGGCCAGTGTAGATTTGGCCTTGTGTTTTAGGTTATTGTCCTGCTGAAATGTGAATGAAATGAAATGAAATCAAATCAAATCAAATTTTATTGGCCACATGCGCTGAATACAACAGGTGCAGACATTACAGTGAAATGCTTACTTACAGCCCTTAACCAACAGTGCATTTATTTTTTATAAAAAAGTAAAATAAAACAACAACAAAAAAGTGTTGAGAAAAAAAGAGCAGAAGTAAAACAAAACAACAGTAGGGAGGCTATATATACAGGGGGGTATGGGTGCAGAGTCAATGTGCGGGGGCACCGGCTAGTTGAGGTAGTTGAAGTAATATGTACATGTGGGTAGAGTTAAAGTGACTATGCATAAATAATTAACAGAGTAGCAGCAGCGTCAAAAGATGGGGTGGGGAGTGGGGGTGGGGGTGGGGGGGCAGTGCAAATAATCTGGGTAGCCATGATTAGCTGTTCAGGAGTCTTATGGCTTGGGGGTAGAAGCTGTTGAGAAGTCTTTTGGACCTAGACTTGGCACTCCGGTACCGCTTGCCGTGCGGTAGCAGAGAGAACAGTCAATGACTAGGGTGGCTGGAGTCTTTGACAATTTTGAGGGCCTTCCTCTGACACCGCCTGGTATAGAGGTCCTGGATGGCAGGAAGCTTGGCCCCAGTGATGTACTGGGCCGTACGCACTACCCTCTGTAGTGCCTTGCGGTCAGAGGCCGAACAGTTGCCATACCAGGTGGTGATGCAACCAGTTAGGATGCTCTTGATGGTGCAGCTGTAGAATTTTTTGAGGATCTGAGGACCCATGCCAAATCTTTTCAGTCTCCTGAGGGGGAATAGGCTTTGTCGTGCCCTCTTCACGACTGTCTTGGTGTGTTTGGACCATAATAGTTCGTTGGTGATGTGGACACCAAGGAACTTGAAGCTCTCAACCTCTTCCACTACAGCCCCGTCGATGAGAATGGGGGCGTGCTCAGTCCTCTTTTTTTTCCTGTAGTCCACAATCATCTCCTTTGTCTTGGTCACGTTGAGGGAGAGGTTGTTATCCTGGCACCACACGGCCAGGTCTCTGACCTCCTACCTATAGGCTGTCTCATCGTTGTCGGTGATCAGGCCTACCACTGTTGTGTCACCGGCAAACTTAATCATGGTGTTGGAGTCGTGCCTGGCCATGCAGTCATGGGTGAACAGGGAGTACAGGAGGGGACTGAGCACGCACCCCTGAGGGGCCCCCGTGTTGAGGATCAGTGTGGCAGATGTGTTGTTACCTACCCTTACTACCTGGGGGCGGCCCGTCAGGAAGTCCAGGATCCAGTTGCAGAGGGAGGTGTTTAGTCCCAGGATCCTTAGCTTAGTGATGAGCTTTGAGGGCACTATGGTGTTGAATGCTGAGCTGTAGTCAATGAATAGCATTCTCACGTAGGTGTTCCTCTTGTCCAGGTGGGAAAGGGCAGTGTGGAGTGCAATAGAGATTGCAAAATCTGTGGATCTGTTGGGGTGGTATGCAAATTGAAGTGGGTCTAGGGTTTCTGGGATAATGGTGTTGATGTGAGACATGACCAGCCTTTCAAAGCACTTCATGGCTACAGACGTCAGTGCTACGGTTCGGTAGTCATTTAGGCAGGTTATCTTAGTGTCCTTGGGCACGGGGACTATGGTGGTCTGCTTGAAACATGTTGGTATTACAGACTCAGTCCGGGACATGTTGAAAATGTCAGTTAAGACACTTGCCAGTTGGTCAGCACATGCTCGGAGTACACGTCCTGGTAATCCGTCTGGCCCTGTGGCCTTGTGAATGTTGACCTGCTTAAAAGTCTTACTCACATCGGCGTGATCACATAGTCATCCGGAACAGCTGGTGCTCTCATGTATGCTTCAGTGTTGCTTGCCTCGAAGCGAGCATAGAAGTGGTTTAGCTCGTCTTGAAGTCTTGTGTCACTGGGCAGCTCGCGGCTGTGCTTCCCTTTGTAGTCTGTAATAGTTTTCAAGCCCTGCCACGTCCGACGAGCGTCAGAGCCGGTGTAGTACGATTCGATCTTAATAAATCTCCCAGTGTCTGATGGAAAGCAGACTGAACCAGGTTTTCCTCTAGGATTTTGCCTGTGCTTAGCTCCATTATATTTCTTTTTTATCCTGAAAAACTCCCCAGTCCTTAACGATTACAAGCATAGGTATAACATGATGCAGCCACCACTATGCTTGAAAATATGGAGTGGTACTAAGTAAGGTTTAATAAGGTATTTGATTTGCCCCGAACATAACACTTTGTATTCTTTGACAAAATGTAAATTGCTTTGCCACATTTTTTGCAGTATTACTTTAGTGCCTTGTTGCAAACAGAATGCATTTTGGAATATTTTTTATTCTGTACAGGCTTCCTTCTTTTCACTCTTTCAATTAGGTTAGTAACTACAATGTTGTTGATCCATCCTCAGTCTTCTCCCATCACAGCCATTAAACTCTGTAACCGTTTTTAAGTCACCATTGGCTTCATGGTGAAATCCCTGAGCGGTTTCCTTCCTCTTCGGCAACTGAGTTAGGAAGGACACCTGTATCTTTGTAGTGACTGGGTGTATTCGTACACCTTCCAAAGTGTAATTAATAACTTCACCATGCTCAAAGGGATATTCAGTGTCTGCTTTTTATTTTTACCCATCTACCAATAGTTGCACTTCTTTGCGGGGCATTGGAAAACCTCCCTGTTCTTTGTGGTATATATATCTAAATTTAATCAATTTCAACACAACAAAATCTGGAAAAAGTTAAGGGGTGTGAATACGTTTTGCAGGCACTGTACGGTGCATTTGGAAAGTATTCAGACCCCTTTACTTTTTCCACATTTTGTTATGTTACAGCCTTTTTCTAAAATTGATAAAAATTATCTACACACAATAGCCCATAATGACAAAACAAAAACAGGTTTTTAGAAATGTTAGCAAATTTATAAAAATAAAAAAACTGATCAGACCATTTGCTATGAGACTTCAAATGGAGCTCAGGTGCATCCTGTTTCCATTCATCGTCCTTGAGATGTTTCTACAACTTGATTGGAGTCCACCTGTGGAATATTCAATTGATTGGACATGATTTGGAAAGGCACACACCTGTCTATATAAGGTCCCACAGTTGAAAGTGCATGTTAGAGTAGAAACCAAGCAATGAGGTTGAAGGAATTGTCCTTAGAGCTCAGAGACAGGATTGTGTCGAGGCACAGATCTGGGGAAGGGTACCAAAACATTTCTGCAGCATTGAAGGTCCACAAGAACACAGTGGCCTCCATCATTCTTAAATGGAAGAAGTTTGGAACCACCAAGACTCTTCCTAGAGCTGGCCGCCTGGCCAAACTGAGCAATTGGGGGAGAAGGGCCTTGGTCATGGAGGTCACCAAGAACCCGATGGTCACTCTGACAGAGCTCCAGAGTTCCCCTGTGGAGATGGGAGAACCTTCCAGAAGGACAACCATCTCTGCAGCAGGCCACCAATCAGGCCTTTATGGTAGAGTGGCCAGACGGAAGCCACTCCTCAGTAAAAGGCACATGACAGCCTGCTTGGAGTTTGTCAAAAGCACCTAAAGGACTCTCAGACCATGAGAAACAAGATTCTCTGGTCTGATGAAACCAAGATTGAACTCTTTGGCCTGAATGCCAAGCGTCAGGTCTGGAGGAAACCACCATGCTTCACCATCCCTAAGGTGAAGCATGGTGGAGGCAGTATCATGCTGTGGGGATATTTTGCAGTGGCAGGGACTGGGAGACTAGTCAGGATCGAGGGAAAGATGAACGAAGCAAAGTACAGAGAGATCCTTGATGAAAACCTGCTCCAGAGCGCTCAGGACCTCAGACTGGGGCGAAGGCTCACCTTCAAACAGGACAACGGCCCTAAGCACACAGCCAAGACAACGCAGGAGTGGCAGGACAAGTCTCTGAATGTCCTTGAGTGGCCCAGCCAGAGCCCGGACCTGAACCCGATCTAACATCTCTGGAGAGACCTGAAATTAGCTGTGCAGCGACGCTCCCCATCCAACCTGTCAGAGCTTGAGAGGATCTGCAGAGGAGAATGGGAGAAACTCCCCAAATACAGGTGTGCCAAGCTTGTAGCGTCATACCCAAGAAGATTTGAGGCTGTCATCGCTGCCAAAGGTGCTTCAACAAAGTACTGAGTAAAGGGTCTGAATACTTATTTAAATGTGATATTTCAGTTTTTTATGTTTAATACATTTGCAGAAATTTTTAAAAACCTGTTTTTGCTTTGTCATTATGGGGTATTGTGTGTAGATTGATGAGGAAAAAATACAATTTAATCAATTTTAGAATAAGGCTGTAACGTAACTGAATGTGGAAAAAGTCAAGGGGTCTGAATACTTTCCGAATGCATTGTAATTCTAATTATGTCATATCATTTTCAAATATTCTGTGACTTGTTGATATTTTGCTGACATTATAAAAGCAGTATGAACTAGAGGAGACAATGGCCTGTGCTTAAAAGTTGTTTTATTGTATTCCAGATCAACAATTAACATTAATAAACCACACTGGAGAACAATTGAGGCAAATATAACAGAAAGTAACACATTAAATGGTGATGCAGGATGGCAGCAGCCACCACATTTCTTTGAATTTACAAAATAAAAATCTAGAGTCCTATCAGATGACAGTGCATTTACATCAATGTTTCACTTGGCTCCATGTGGAAGCATTAGGATCAGAGCAGGAAATCCATGCTTTAGGAGATGACATGCATTGGATCTCACCTGGGGCTGATTTAAGGCTGTGGCTGATGTACATTTACGCTTCTCCCAGGAAATACCCCAACCTCGCAGAACTCTCTGTTTGGTTTTAGCTCTGTTTATAAGGGCTGTTTAGACTCAGTCTGTTACTTAGGGCCAAAGGGGGCACCTCATCTACCACTCTGAGCACATATGTAAAGCACAAGCTGGTTTCCATGCATCTTTCTCCCAACCACTTTCATATCCTTAGGCTGCTCACAGGAGAGATTTGATAGACCCCTATCAGATTTGTTTCTGTTTAAGTTACATGTTTTCTATTTTCCCTTCTCTTTGCTTCTCTGACTTAGTTCTCTGGCCACTGGCACCCTTGCTGCTAACGGAAAAATGTATCGATCCTCTTGCGGCTCCCTCATAATAAAAGCCCGGAATCCGCTGAAAGACATATGAGCTGTTGGTACTGCTGGTCAGGCCAATGAACGCTACGTTCCACAACTCCTGGCCTTTAGAAGAAGCCCCTGTACATGGGGTTCCAGCACTTATCAAAAACAGCAGGACTAAAAATCACACAGAATATAACAAATGTTTTCAAACTCTCTCAGAGAGGAAAGAGATTAATTAAAGAAATGCTCCGGAACTTTGGCGACTACAAATTTCTTTTTTTACCTTACGCTTTGGCCTGGAATTATACATTCATAATCTATGGGAAGAATTACTGTTTTACCTCAATTAGCCATGTATTCCCTAGTTTGAATGCGACTGTTTTTCTGGAAGCTGTGCTGCGCCATTTTCTCAAAATGTTCCCCCACGTGGGCCACCCCCCTAGCAATTTGAGTTCTACAAATGAGCTTCAGCCCCTCACCATTTGAGTGACAGCTAGCAAGATGCATACACAGCAGAGAGAGCGAGAGCGAGAGAGAGAGAGACAGAGAGCAATGACGGGGTGCACATACAGTGAGCTCCATCATTCATTGGACATTTTTTTGTTATTTTGGTTCTGTACTCTTGCACTTTGAGTTTGAAAGGATACAATGACAATGAGGGTGAAGTGCAGACTGTCAGCTTTAATTTGAGGGTATTTTCATACATATCAGATGAACCGTTTAGAAATGACAGCACCTTTTGTACATGGACCCCCCATTTTAAGGTACTACAAGTATTTGTTAAATTGGCTTCACAGATGTGTGTCGTTAGGCAGGTGTATTAATTTGTGTCGTTAGTGAATGCAGGAGAGCTGTTGCTGAATAGTATTGATTCTAGACTTTGCTATTGCCTTTGGAGGTTGTTGTTGGGGTGTGACAACATGAGGAAGACAGCAGTGTCAATGCAAATTAAGCTGGCCGTCATAAGGCTCAGAAATGAAAATCCCTGGCCATGCCCAAGTCAACAGTTTGGTTCATCATTAACAAAAAAAAAAAAATGAACTCAATTATGTCAAAAGACCCGGTACACCAAGGAAGACGACTGTAGTGGATGACCGGAGAATACTCTCTATGGTGAAGAAAACCCCCTTGACAACAGCCCAACAGATCAAAAACACTCTCCTGGATGCAGGTGTAGATGTGTCAAAGTCTACCATACGTAGAAGACTACACCAGCAGGACTACAGAGGGTACACTACAAGATGCAAACCACTGATAAGCCTGAAGAACAGAAAGGCGAGATTACAGTTTGCTAAAAAGCACCTAAAAGAGCCCCAAGAGTTCTGGAAAAAAAGTATTGTGGACAGATGAGACAAAGATTAACATGTCCCAGAGGGATGGAAAGAGGAAAGTGTGGAGAAAAAAAAGAAATGCCCATGATCCAAAGCATACCACCTCATCCGTGAAACATGGTGGAGGGGGTGTTATGGCTTGGGCCTGTATGGCTGCCAGTGGAACAGGCTCACTTGTCTTCATCGATGATGTGACTGCAGACAGAAGTAGAACAATGAATGAAAGTCTACAGAAATATTTTATCTGCTCAGATAAAACCAAATGCCTCCAAACTCATTGGACGGCACTTCATCATGCAACAAGACAATGACCCTAAACATACTGCTAGAGCAACGAAGGGGTTTTTGATGGCCAAAAAGTGGAAAATCCTTGACTGGCCCAGTCAATCACTGGATCTGAATCCAATTGAACATGCATTTTACATGCTGAAGAGGAGACTGAAGGCAATAAGTCCCCGAAACAAGCAGGAACTGAAGATGGCTGCAGTACAGGCCTGGCAGAGCATCACCAGGGAAGATACCCAGCGTCTGGTGAAGTCGATGCAGACTTCAAGCAGTCATTGCATGCAAAGGATATGCGACCAAATATGAACAATGATTACTTTATTCTACATTATGTTAAACTGTCCAATGTTTTTTGATGACCGAAAATGGGGGGGACCATGTATAAAAGCTTCTATAATTTCTAAACGGTTCATCCGATATGTATGAAAATACTCTTAAATTAAAGCTGACAGTCTGCACTTCACCCTCGTTGTCATTGTATCATTTCAAACTCAAAGTGCTAGAGTACAGAACCAAAATAACAAAACAATGGTCACTGTCCAATGAATTATGGAGCTCACTGTATCTGCACAGGTAACGTAGTATGTAATTTTCATGGACCACTTTTGGCTCATGAGCGCTACTTTCAGAACTACTGTCGAACTTTATAGACTCTTTTATGAAATCTCATGTGCAAGCATTGCCATCATATGTGAAAGACTCTATAGACTTCATAAACAAGATCTCACCAATAACGGGATTAACAGAATACTGTATTTTGGTCACATTGGATGTCGAGAGTCTATATACCAGCATTCGCCATACGGGGGGGCTGGCAGCCGTAGCTCACTATGTGAGAGCCCTAGATACTAACAAATACCCACCAACAAACTTCATTCTAGAGCTGGCTGAATATGTTTTTACGTATAACTATTTCAGGTTTGATGATGAATACTGCCTCCAAACGAATGGAACATTGATGGGCTCCACATTCGCCCCGAGCTATGCTAAACTTTATGTGGGTAATTTTGAAGAATGTTTTGTTAACAATGAAAACGAAAATCCATTTTTGAATAAAGTCCTGAAGTGGTATCGATATATTGACACAACTTTTTGCATATGGGGAGGAACGGGAGAAGGGCTGTCAGACTTTATGGCATTACTCAATGACATTGACCCCAATCTCAAATTCACTATTGAATGTGACACTAAACGTGTTCATTACCTCGATATGTGGATTGAGAAATCAAATGGAACCCTGTTTACAACTCTGTATTGAAAAGAAACGGACAGAAATACTCTATTACAGGGGGACAGCTTCCACCCTGAGCCATTCAAAAGAGGACTTCCAAGAAGCCAGTTTTTCAGACTGTGCCATATATGCCACTCCACAGAGGACTATCTACAAAAAGCAGCAGAGATGCGCAATAGGTTTCTAAGAAGAGGCTACTCTCCACACTAGCTGAACTGCTACAAAAAAGACCCACTAGCGCTAAAGAACACTCTGTAATGTTCCCCACCACATATACTTTGAACCCGCACAAAGTGGGAGATGCTGTCAAGAAACACTGGCATGTTTTATCATTGGACCCAGCTTTGCCAGCTGAATTTAAGAATCCACCACTTATTGTACAGTGCATTCGGAAAGTATCCAGACCCCTTGACCTTTTCCACATTTTGTTACGTTACAGCCTTATTCTAAAATTGATTAAATTGTTAGTTTTTCTCATCAATCTACACACAATACCCCATAATGACAAAGCAAAAACTGGTTTTTCAAAATTTCTGCAAATGTATTAAACATAAAAAACGGAAATATCACATTTAAATAAGTATTCAGACCCTTTACTCAGTACTTTGTTGAAGCACCTTTGGCAGCGATTACAGCCTCGAGTCTTCTTGAGTATGACGCTACAAGCTTGGCACACCTGTATTTGGGGAGTTTCTCCCATTCTCCTCTGCAGATCCTCTCAAGCTCTGTCAGGTTGGATGGGGAGCTTCGCTGCACAGCTAATTTCAGGTCTCTCCAGAGATCGGGTTCAAGTCCGAGCTCTGGCTGGGCCATTCAAGGACATTTAGAGACTTGTCCCGAAGCCACTCATGCGTTGTCTTGGCTGTGTGCTTAGGGTCGTTGTCCTGTGGAAAGGTGAGCCTTCGCCCCAGTCTGAGGTCCTAAGAGCTCTGGAGCAGGTTTTCATCTTTGATCTTTCTGTACTTTGCTCCGTTGATCTTGATCCTGACTAGTCTCCCAGTCCCTGCCGCTGAAACACAGTCCCACAGCATGATGTTGCCACCATCATGCTTCATTGTAGGGATGGTGCCAGGTTTCCTCCAGACCTGACGCTTGGCATTCAGGCCAAAGAGTTCCATCTTGGTTTCATCAGACCAGAGAATCTGAGAGTCCTTTAGGTGCCTTTTGGCAAACTCCAAGCAGGCTGTCATGTGCCTTTTACTGAGGAGTGGCTTCCGTCTGGCCACTCTACCATAAAGGCCTGATTGGTGGAGTGCTGCAGAGATGGTTGTCCTTCTGGAAGGTACTCCCATCTCTACAGAGGAACTCTGGAGCACTGTCAGAGTGACCATCAGGTTCTTGGTCACCTCCCTGACCAAGGCCCTTCTCCCCCGATTGCTCAGTTTGGCCAGGCGGCCAGCTCTAGGAAGAGTCTTGGTGGTTCCAAACTTCTTCCATTTAAGAATGATGGAGGCCACTGTGTTCTTGGGGACCTTCAATGCTGCAGAAATGTTTGGGTACCCTTTCCCAGATCTGACATGCACTGACATGCATTGTCAACTGTGGGGCCTTTCCAAATCATGTCCACTCAATTGAATTTACCACAGGTGGACTCCAATCAAGTTGTAGAAACATCTCAAGGATGATCAATGGAAATAGTATGCACCTGAGGTCAATTTCGAGTCTCATAGCAAAGGGTCTGAATACTTATGTAAATAAGATATTTATGTTTTTATAAACCTGTTTTCACTTTGTCATTATTGGGAATTTTGTGTAGATTGATGAGGGAAAAAAACAATTTAATCCATTTTAGAATAAGGCTGTAATGGAAAAAGTCAAGGAGTCTGAATACTTTCTGAATGCACTGTATATAGGAGAGGTCGCAATTTATGCGATAAACTGGACCATGCCAACTGCCAGCCACAAAAGAAAATGAGCCAGACTATCTTTCGCCCTCTTCCTAATGGTAGCTATAAACGCAGAGGTTGCGCACAGTGCAACAATATGATAATAATAATAATATGCCATTTAGCAGACGCTTTTATCCAAAGCGACTTACAGTCATGTGTGCATAAATGTTTACGTATGGGTAGTCCCGGGGATCGAACCCACTACCCTGGCGTTACAAGCGCCATGCTCTACCAATTGAGCTACAGAGGAATGTTTCTGTCACCCACATACAGGAAAACGGTTCCAAATAAATTACATTATTACTTGCTCCACCACCCATGTTATCTACATGATTAAATATCCATGTGGGCTGTATTATGTAGGTAAAACCTTTCATTCTCTCAAACAGAGAATTAGTGAACATAAAAGGTCAATCAGGAGAAACGACAAGGATTAATTATCCAGTCGCAGTACATTTCAATGAACAAAAACATGACATTTTGACCTTTTAGATTTTGTGGCTTAGAGAAAGTTAAGATATCAGACAGGGGAGGTGATATAAATAAGCAAAAGAGAATGTATTTGGATTTTCACCCTCCAGACATTATTTCCTAAAGGTCTTAATGATGAAATGCCTATGCATGTTATGTTGTAAATGTGAACATTAATTAATGCCACCATTTTTCTTGCGCTGTACCCAATGATTTACGAAAACTTGCTTGATGGGCCGATGTCCTCATTGTGGTTTTACAGACGTGTTTAATTCGTTTTATGTACAGACTTCATTAGAATATTTATAAAATGCACATTGTTATATCTGGTAACACTTACTTATTTTCCCTCGACTCCAACCCCATTTGATGCATTGAATGGATGTGGGTGGGGCTATGTCTACATAAGGGTGCTAATAAAAAAAACTCATAAAAGCTCTGATGAAGGCCTTGAGGCCGATACGAAAAGCTTAATAAAGAGCAGTGATACCAGCAAGAGCAGTGTGCGGGTTTCTTATTTTTTCTCATCTTATTCAACTATTACCATGCACCTGCAAAAACGATAGCTCAGATGTGCAAGTGCCTTTTGAATTTTAGAACTAATGGCTAAAAACTATACAAAAGTACCGGAGAATCTCTTTAAATACAAGTAGACTTCACTATTGGTCTTAGATGATTTAACACTATCAACAAACATGATACGTTACTCCCCTCAGTACTACCACTGTTAACTGATGACACATGTTATCATTCTGAATAAATTACCTTGTGTTTATCGTTAATCATTAAAGTTGTGAGTCATGTGTTTTGAATGAAGGGAATATTCTTTATTTGGCTTGATAATGTATGGCAGTTGGCTAATATGTTCACCTACAACTTGGCTGTAGACATTTCTCACTTGTTCTCTTTGAGATGTACTTTATCTCATACCAACCTGATATATTTTTTTAACTAAATTAAAAACACATGGACAGTAAATTAGCAGATATCTTTCCTCCTCAATCTCAGTGTATTCGCTTTCAAAGGATTAGGTCTAATTTATGACAGATGATAAAGGTGAAAAATTATTAGAATCTGTCTCAGACTTTCCATCACTGAAGTGGAACAGTTTCTAGATTTTTGTTTTTCTATCTCTATTGTTTGGCACAGAATAAATTGTGTGTGGATAACAGCTGGTGCACAATATCTAAGGAAGTCTCGAGGTTTTGCTCGCCAGAGGTAGAGTATCTCATGATAAGCTGTAGACCACATTACCTACCAAGAGAGTTTTCATCTATATTCTTCGTGGCTGTTTATTTACCACCACAAACCGATGCTGGCACTAAGACTGCACTCAATGAACTGTATACGGCCATAAGCAAACAGGAAAACGCTCATCCAGAGGCGGCGCACCTAGTGGCCGGGGACTTTAATGCAGGGAAACTTGAATCCGTTTTACCTCATTTCTACCAGCATGTGCAACCAGAGGGAAAAAAACTCTAGACCACCTTTACTCCACACAAAAAGACGCGTACAAAGCTCTCCCTCGCCCTCCATTTGGCAAATCTGACCATAATTATATCCTCCTGATTCCTGGTTACAAGCAAAATCTAAACCAGGAAACACCAGTGACTCGGTCAATAAAAAAGTGGTCAGATGAAGCAGATGCTAAGCTACAGGACTGTTTTGCTAGCACAGACTGGAATATGTTCCGGGATTCTTCCTATGGCATTGAGGAGTACACCACATCAGTCACTTGCTTCATCAATAAGTGCATCGATGACGTCGTCCCCACAGTGACTGTACGTACATACCCCACCCAGAAGCCATGGATTACAGGCAACAACTGAGCTACAGGGTAGAGCTGCCGCTTTCAAGGAGCAGGACTCTAACCCGGAAGCTTATAAGAAATCCCGCTATGCCCTCTGACGAACCATCAAACAGGCAAAGCATCAATACAGGACTAAGATCCAATTGTACTACACTGGCTCCGACGCTCGTTGGATGTGGCAGGGCTTGCAAACTATTACAGACTACAAAGGAAAGCACAGCCGCGAGCTGCCCAGTGACACGAGCCTACCAGACGAGCTAAATTACTTCTATGCTCGTTTCGAGGCAAGTAACACTGAAACATGCATGACAGCATCAGCTGTTCCGGACGACTGTGTGATCAAGCTCCCCGTAGCTGATGTGAGTAAGACCTTTAAACAGGTCAACATTCACAAGGCCGCAGGGCCAGACGGATTACCAGGACGTGTACTCCAAGCATGCACTGACCAACTGGCAAGTGTCTTCACTGACATATTCAACCTCTCCCTGTCTGAGTCTGTAATACCAACATGTTTCAAGCAGACCACCATAGTCCCTGTGCCCAAGAACACTAAGGTAACCTGCCTAAATGACTACCGACCCGTAGCACTCACGTCTGTAGCCATGAAGTGCTTTGAAAGGCTGGTCATGGCTCACATCAAAACCATTATCCCAGAAACCCTAGACCCACTTCAATTTGCATACCACCCCAACAGATCCTCAGAGGATGCAATCTCTGTTGCGCTCCACACTGCCCTTTCACACCTGGACAAAAGGAACACCTATGTGAGAATGATACTCATTGACTACATCTGTTCAACACCATAGTGCCCTCAAAGCTCATCACTACGCTAAGGACCCTGGGACTAAACACCTCCCTCTGCAACTGGATCCTGGACATCCTGACGGGCCGCCCCCAGGTGGTAAGGGTAGGTAACAACACATCCGCCACGCGGATCCTCAACACAGGGGCCCCTCAGGGGTGCGTTCTCAGTACCCTCCTGTACTCCCTCTTCACTCATGACTTCATGGCCAGGCACGACTCCAACACCATCATGAAATTTGCCGATGACACAACAGTGGTAGGCCTGATCACCGACAACGACGAGACAGCCTATAGGGAGGAGGTCAGAGATCTGGCCGTGTGGTGCAAGGACAACAACCTCTCCCTCAATGTGATCAAGACAAAGGAGATGATTGTGGACTACAGGAAAAAGAAGAGGACCGAGCATGCCCCCATTCTCATCGACAGGGCTGTAGAGGGCACGACAGTCGTGAAGAGGGCACGACAAAACCTATTCCCCCTAAGGAGACTGAAAAGATTTGGCATGGGTCCTCAGATCCTTAAAAGGTTCTACATTTGCACCATCGAGAGCATTCTGACTGGTTGCATCACTGCCTGGTATGGCAACTGCTCGGCCTCCGACCGCAAGGCACTACAGACGGTAGTGCGTACGGCCCAGTACATCACTGGGGCCAAGCTTCCTGTCATCCTGGACCTCTATACCAGGCGGTGTCAGAGGAAGGCCCTAAAGAATGTCAAAGACTCCAGCCACCCTCGTCATAGACTGTTCTTTCTGCTACTGCACGGCAAGCTGTACCGGAGCGCCAAGTCTAGGTCCAAGAGGCTTCTAAACAGCCTCTAGCCCCAAGCCATAAGACTACTGAACATCTAATCAAATGGCTACCCAGACTATTTGCATTGCCCCCCCCCCTCCCACCCCCCACCCCCCCACCCCTTTTACGCTGCTGCTACTCTCTGTTTATTATCTATGCATAGTCACTTTAATAACTCTACCTACATGTACATATTACCTCAATTACCTCGACTAACCGGTGCCCCCGCACATTGACTCGGTACCGGTACCCCCTGTATATAGCCTTGCTATTGTTATTTTTACTGCTGCTCTTTCATTATTTTTTACTTTTATTTCGTATTATTTTATATTGTATTTTTTTATGTGATTTTGTTTAAATATTCTTTCTTAAAACTGCATTGTTGGTTAAGGGCTTGTAAGTAATTATTTCACTGTATGGTCTACACCTGTTGTATTCGACGCATGTGACAAATTATTTTTATTTTTATTTGATATTACCATTTTAGCATATCCCCCTACAAGGCAAGCATTTGTTTTCTTAAATGTGTTTCAAAGAAAGGAGATGATAATCTTTGCCTTTTGAAGTAAATTTCCAAACATTAAGACTGTATCAGGAACTTGAGTAACCAGAGGATCCAAAGATTCAGGACTGAATTAGTGTAACAATTTGGTTGGGGTTTGTGCAATGGATCAAAGGGCTAAAACAATAATGGGAGCAACATGCTAAACAACAGCCTGAGACTTTATTCTCTGAACTCACACATCATCTGAATCAATTATGTAGCAATGATCAACTTCAATCTGGTAAATTAGCATATCACTCACATCCTGTTGACTGACTTCCTGCTTCCTGTCTCTTCCAGCTGCTGTGCTCGACGGTGCAGAAGGCCCTGTTTGAGGAGGAGGAGCATGTGAAGACTCTCTCCCAAAAGGTGCGTTCTCTGGAGAAGGCCAACAGCCACCTGCGGGACAAGGTGAAGAACATGAAGCGCCTGCTACGCCAGGCCAAACGAGACACCAAGGACCAGCAGACCCTCCCACTGAAAGAGCTGCACAACCCCGAGCCCCCCCACCCACACCAAGACACCACAAAGGACCAGAAAAGACCCGCCCTCAAAAAGATCCTCACCAATACGCTAAAAAACTGAGCCCAAACCCGCCCCTACCACCACCACCTGTTGCACTGCAGACATGGACAGGCTTTATAAAAGGACATAAGGACTGTATAGAATGTGACATCAGGAGAAGGAGAAGTAGGCTAAAGACAGGTACTGTATGTAATAGTGTATGTATGTAATGTCAAAAGTTATGGAGATAGAGGAATTGCATACCCTTAGTGTGATGCAGACTAATGACACCTCTGTTGCAAGAAAGTCCATTCAGCAAATCAGAAATGTTTTGTATGCTGAAAAAAACAACGATGGAGGTTTCTTATTATTTTTCCCTTCGATAATATAATACTATAGAATAGCCTTCATAATTTCTAAATATAAATCCAGTCATTTCACACACATATACTCTGTATGGATCTATAAGGAATGCCTACACTACAATATGATAAGCATTTCTTGTCATTGCATTCACATTGTGTCACTCTGTTCTTACCACAGGAAGAGTAGCAGGACAATTTGAGGAGAATGTTGTCTTGGATCAAATGTGATTTCCACACACAGGCTGAGACAGCACTCATGCTTCATTATGACTCACTGGTTATAGACGGGTTGTTTGTTTAGCAACAAAACTGACGCTTGCGCAACTATGGGGCAAAACAGACAGGGTTGGCTTAGATTGTTGACAACATGTAAGCTGTATTTAGTCTCCAAATGTTTATTGAAAATATAAATACATTTGCAAAATGAGCACTTCTCTCAAATACGTCGTTACACTTTTCGGGTAGCTAGCTAGTGAATTTTAGCCATATTGGCATTGACATGATCAGTGAAAACACCTCAAAACAAGATATGGTATCAAGAACAACATAAAACTAGCTGAAACGAGCCAGCAACGAATCACAACATGGCATCTTCTTGTCATTGTTGCTAGCTATCTGATCGTTCAGAATCATAACAAAGCACGGCTTCTGGCCACATAGATGCGCACTCATAATTTCCATGACGTTGTCAGCCAACCAGTCTATACAACTGCTTTGTTACAAAAATGCATGCTGGGGGATATGGTCATCACAAAGTCTCATCCCACCGGGCCTTACTAACCCTCTATCTCATCCAAACCTTGCTCCCATATCCCCCCTTTTATAGGTCCCCTCATCTCAATACCATAGAGTAGAGGTCAGTGCTGCCTCTGTGAAGCCTTATCCTCCTTTGAGGATATAATATTGAAAAAATAAAAAACATTCAGATAAATAAGGTGAGGCTTTTGACCTATGCTGACAGGTCAAAGTCTCACTCTGTAATTTTTACACACCTCTCACACCCCAAACATGCCCAGGCAAAATACTCTGCCTTCCTGCTGGCAGGGTTTTCCCCAGAGTGGAGTTCGATGCCAGTCACCATGCCAGGTAAGATGCTGCCATGGTAGTGGGAAAGTCAAGGCAAGGCCTGCAGGTGTGCTGCCAATACCATGCCAAGGACCTCACACTGCTGCCCTGAAGATGCTGAACCCAAAACAGTCATACTGGTTAAGAACATCTGCAAAATTACTTGAGTGTTACATGTAAAAGGTTACATTCTGTCCTTAACAACTGATGTTGGATCACCTCCACAGAGTACAGGAAGTTTGATTTAATGACTACACAGACGATAGACAACACAGATGCTAAACTCTTAATACTGTATCTATGGCTCTGATAAGCTCTCCCTTCCCTTCCCTCCCCAGTCCCAACCATAACCATTACACACTAAACAACAAGAGCTGCCTTGGACCAGTTAGGACAGAGTCTACGGAACCGTCTCTTTTAACACAGCACACCCAACACTGTCACTGCACTTACAGGAAATCAATCATCAAGCCCTGGAACTGTTAACACAGGGGTAGTGTATGGTTGGCCGTAGGAACAGGGAAACACACTTCTCATGGCATATTAAATAATATTAATATGATTTTTAAAAGCACGCTCTTATCAGCAAGGATATCTAGGGGTTTTAAATTCTGTTGAAATCTAGCCGTTTCTCATTTTACCAGTTATATGGGTATTATTAACCAATAATAACTTTATCTCAAGGGCTTCCAGGTTTATTGTTAATTTTTTTATGATTCCAGCTTTTTGTTGGTGGTTTCATACAGTTCGATTGAGTGAAAATGTAGTTTTTATATTTGAAACAGGGTGCTGAGCACTCAATAAATACAACCACTAGCCAATGAGGTGTAATGTGGTACAGTAAAATATTTTTCTGTGTCAGAACTGAGAGGCGTCCCTAGTCTCCTATTATATGTGTTGTACTTGGCTTTTATGTTTGTCCTCTTCAAACAATAAGCATTTGGTTATATATATATATATATATATATATATATATATATATATATATATATATATATATATATACTATATATTCATGTATGATAGCAAATAATGAAAAAAATTAAAATGTGTATTGCCATCTTGCAGATTTTCAATAGTATGAGCTTGTAGTTTTATTATTAGCGAAAATGTTGTGATTGACTTCCAGGGATCCATATCTAGCATCGCAAAGATCAACACTGTTCATTCCCTAAATCTGATCCTTGCCACATACAGTATCTCATTAAAGACCAGTACTGATTAGCAACAACCAGGTCACTGCATCCCGATCGAACAAGATTATCATAATCGAGCAAAGTAATTAAATCCAATGTCTGCAAGACATCAACATTTTGCACACTTCAGACACATTGAGGCTCTTACGATATGGCAGGTGTTGTACACTATATATACAAAAGTATGTGGACACCCCTTCAGATTAGTGGATTCAGCTATTTCAGCCACATCCGTTGCGGACAGTTGTATAAAATCGAGCACACAGCCATGCTATCTCCATAGACAAACATTGGCAGTATAATGGCCTTACTGAATAGCTCAGTAACGTTCAATGTGGCACTGTCATAGGATGCCACCTTTCCAACAAGTCAGTTCGTCAAATTTCTGCCCTGCTAGAGCTGCCTCGGTCAACTGTAAGTGCTGTTATTGTGAAGGGGAAACATCTAGGAGCAACAATGGCTCAGCCGCAAGGTGGTAGGACACAGAAGCTCACAGAATTGGACCGCCGAGTGCTGAAGCGCATAGAGCGTAAAAATCGTCTGTCCATGGTTGCAACACTCTCTACCGAGTTCCAAACTGCCTCTGGAAGCAACTTCAGCACAAGAACTGTTCGTCAGTTTCCATGGCTGAGCAGCCGCACACAAGCCTAAGATCACCATGCGCATTGCCAAGCGTCAGCTGGAGTGATGAATCAGGCTTCACCATTTGGCAGTCCGATGGACGAATCTGGGTTTGGCGGATGCCAGGAGAACGCTACCTGCCCCAATGCATAGTGCCAACTGTAAAGTTGGCCGTTTTTAATGGTTTGGGTTAGGCCCCTTAGTTCCAGTGATGGGAAATCTTAACTCTACAGCATACAATGACATTCTAGACGATTCTGTGCTTCCAACTTTGTGGCAACACTTTGGGGAAGGCCCTTTCCTGTTTCAGCATGACAGTGCCCCCGTAAACAAAGCTAGGTCCATACAGAAAATGTCTGCTTGTATATTTAGTAGTGAATCCGAAGATAGGAACATCGCTGAAAGACATCCAATGGCTCTATCGAACAAGGACAACCATATCAATACACCGGAAGCCGCCATAGGGTGTATCATTCAGCACGCGAAGACCTGCCTTCCTCCTGGGCAATTATGTGTGAAACACATCTCACTGTCCTATAAATGCCTCAGACATGATGAAAACAAGCCCAGATTCCCCCAGGGTGAAATTCCCCTTTAACGTCAGCTAGCTAACTGACCTAGCGAGCAGTGGCGGTAGGCACAGTTTTAAGATGAGGGATGACGTATTTTAAATTATATTTTTAACATTTCTATTACAGCATATTGGATGACTGTCATTCACCCGGCTCAATGTAACATCGATAGGTTTAGGTTACTACATGATACTCCAATTCTCCCTACACCCATCATGAAGTTGCTACAACCTAGCCTACAAATGAAAGTTTACAACGTAGGTGCAAAGGTTGAGAGAAATTTGAGTAATCAAGGTGACAGACAGTGATACATTTAATACCGCCTTGCACACTCTTGCCAGCATCTAGCTGATCTAGGTTGTAGTCATTAGTCCAACAGTTGCAAACAAGAGTTGCTATTGGACAAATTCAGGTATGTTTATCCCAGTTTCATTCTGTTTGCTTCCGTTTAAGAAATGTTTTTCAACAGAATCTGCGAAATGAATACATCCCTGATCACACGCAAACACAGAACTAGCAGCCACATATACTGTAAACAGTACCTTTCCAAGCCAGACCTTCATACCATAACCGCTAACCGCTACACACAGCCTACATCATTGTCAACATAGCTACTAGAACTAACACGTTAGTAAACTCGCTACAATCAAAAATGTACCTTGACTTGGAAGAGTTCCAGTGTTGGATAGCCATAGCCAGCTAGCTAACATAGCATCCCTCTCTGTTTGAACCGGGTGTTTGAGTGGGCTAAACTAGCTAGCTAGGTGCATTTGCTAGCTGTGAACGTGAAAGCAAATAAACAACTAAATATGTGACTCGTTTCAGGAAACTAGGCGTATGCCGCACGTCACTACTTCACAGGAGAGGCATTTGAACATAACATGAGCTGCTCAGTATGTGTTGGTAATCCTTTCTAACGCGGCTTTTTTGAAGGATATCATGCAAAAGTGTTGCTAATGCTCTCCACTTTCTGGAGGACGATCGTGCCATGCTGACTCCCTCTGACTCTGAAAATGAATCAGACGATGAGGAAATCCCTGATTTAGGTAAAAACATTTTCATTGAAACAGACATTGTAGAGTCTTCTGAAACGGTGATCAACAGTGTTGATCGAGTTTTGAAATCAGTGGAATGCCCGGTGGAAGCAGAGTTTGACAGCTAAGGAGATGGAGAAAATTCTGGCGTTTGATTGCAATTATGCACACAGATGGCTGTTGTATAAAACACCTGTCTCCGGACTACATCTTCAAACTAAGGGCAAC